ATTCCTGATCAGTAGGATTTTATCTCATTACATAATTCCTGATCAGTAGGATTTTATCTCATTACATAATTCCTGATCAGTAGGATTTTATCTCATTACATAATTCCTGATCAGTAGGATTTTATCTCATTACATAATTCCTGATCAGTAGGATTTTATCTCATTACATAATTCCTGATCAGTAGGATTTTATCTCATTACATAATTCCTGATCAGTAGGATTTTATCTCATTGCATAATTCCTGATCAGTAGGATTTTATCTCATTACATAAATCCTGATCAGTAGGATTTTATCTCGTTACATAATTCCTGCATGATCAGTAGGATTTTATCTCATTACATAATTCCTGATCAGTAGGATTTTATCTCGTTACATAATTCCTGCATGATCAGTAGGATTTTATCTCGTTACATAATTCCTGATCAGTAGGATTTTATCTCGTTACATAATTCCTGATCAGTAGGATTTTTTCTCAATACATAAATCCTGGTCATTGGATTTTATCTCATTACATAAACCTGTTCAATAGACTTTATATCACAGTGATATCCTGATCAGGAGGGAATTATCTCATTACATAAATCCCGGTCATTAGATTTTATATCACTGTGATATCCTGGTCAGTAGGATTTTATTTCAATACACCTGGTGAAAGAGATTTTATTTCATTTCATAAACCTGGTCATGTTAAGGTCAGATAATAAACGTACTATGAAAATTAATTAGCGACCTTTGTTATATCAGGAGTACACTACACGGTGCACCTAATTTAATGGACTGTAAATTATACGTTTCTTTCTCCATCTCCCTCTCTCTTTATTTTCTCATTTGTTCTTGTATATCGTACTATTTCCATGATCCTAGAGTCTGTTCTTGTACTGTATGCGAATGAGTACAAGTTGTACTTTCTTTACAATATTCCCACGAAAAAAAACGGAAAATTATTTAAATACATATGTAGTTGATATTTCATTTGGATGCTGTTTAAAGTCAATTTTCTGAAGAAAAAATTTAAAGATCATATAATTCAGGATTTAAATATTTTGTTTGTAAGGTTTTTACCGGTGCAGAAACTTTGATATGGGTATCGGGTATCTTGCCTTGCAATGACTGGTTTACGGCAAACGAATGAGAGTTTTTATAGCACTGAAGTTTTACAAATTCACGATTTTTTAAATCGATTATTTATAGAACTATTTCCAGGAGTCTTGTAGACCTCATGAATAATAATACATAATTGTCGAAATCACCATGAATTAATTATGTTGTGCGACATTTTTCTATCAATATCTTCAATAAAAAAAGTTTATTTGTTACTAGTATATGCTGGAAAATGGCGTAAAATAAAATAAACACACACGCTCGGAATTTCTAAGACTGAATAACTTTATTCTGTCAAGTGACAGTGTTGACTGTAAGCAAATTCAGCACCAAGAGTCCCACAACAGAACAACAGACATGCTATTGATACCTATTGATACGAAATGATATCCTTTTATGATGCTTAAAAAACAAGTCTGTATCAAACATAGTCTCCGTTTGCTTTTACATTCACAGTACACTTTTTGTCTCTTATTATTTATCAAAAAACTTTGTATTTAACGATACAATAAATATACTTAATACATATTTTTTTCATTAAATCTTATTTGTATATTATTGTTTGTTACGATATTTGGAACAGAGTTCGAATTTGACTCAACATAAACCTTAAACAGTTAAACACACGCATTAGCAGATAAAAGATAAAAATTCACACCCCAGTTCATCCGTTGGGCGAAAGAAAATAAAATGCCATTGCAGAAAACAAAATCAATAGAATAACAATAAGATATGAACAAACAATGAAGACAAAATTTTAAAATTTTCATTAACTCATTACATGTTTTATCGATTAGAAATGCTTTCATTTGTTTATTCAAAACAGCAAACTTCTGAAAGCAGCCAATCGAATGGAGCCACATGGCCGTGGTCGGATCGATATTCCGGTGGATATTGTATCAGTTCTACTAATTGGCAATTAATGCGAGCGCCTGTCCTAATGTTTCGGAGCTTGAATTACCGGGCTTTTGTGTATATCTGATTATAAAGATGAATAGATCGAAAGCTGTCCACGAAAAAAAGAACAAATAATTTATACTTTGAAACAAACCATCGATTGTCGCCATAATACGGGTGGCCGACTAAACAATCTCGATCCTTTTCCCGTCATGAGATAATGGAGCTGTATTTGAGCTAACGGTATCACGTGGTCGACATATCCTTGATAAAACAATGATGGAAAGACAAATCTCTGATAAATGTCCTTAAAGATGATATATTTATTACAATATTACAACACTGTATAACAGGACCCTGAAAATAATTCGGGGGGGGGGGGGGGGGGGGACTCAAGACAGTTCAATACCATTTGAACAATGATACACACGAGTTACAACTGTTCTTCAATAAATATAGCATTTATAAGAAGGTTAAGTGTTTCTTCTGACAGACAAAAAGCGGCATACAAGAAAACAAGAGGCCCATGGGCCACATCGTTCACCTGAGCTCATTGGCTAGGAAGAAGCAGAAATCAGTTCAGTATTGAAAGGGGGATGGGGGGACTTTAATCTAAACTACTTCAAGATGCTTCCATATCAATATTACTAATCATGGCTTTGCTGAATTAAAGAATTTTAGAGATTTGTTTCCTATGTTTTCCACCGTCTGTAGAGCTCTCGCTCCGTGATTGGAAAGTCAGGGGTTCGAGCCCCGGCCGCGACTGACTTAAGTCGATAAAAAATAGCAACTGTTCCTTCGCCAAGCGCTCGGCACTTTGAAGTGAAAGTTGCGGGTCCTTCAGATGAGACCTTAATAACGAGGCCCCATGTCACGGCAGGCGTAGGCACGAAAAGATCCCTCACTGCTCAATGGCCCTAAGTGCCGAGTAAAGGTCTAAATTTGAAGCCCTTCATCGGTATATGGTAAAGTCTCTATATGAGTGAAAAATTCTTGAACGGGATACAATCAATCAATCAATCCTATGTTTTCCAATGTATAACTCTGATCTCTCATTGTGGCCCCACACTACCCACCCTAAATTTGAACAAATTTGAAGCTACACTACCTGAGGATGCTTCTTGAATAATATGACTAATCATGGCTTTGCTGTTCTTGAGCAGAAGATTTTTTCAAGATGATTCCTATATTTTTTTCTAATGCAAAACTTAATCGACCCTCTGTTGTATCCCCATGATTTGAACAAACTTGATTCTACAATACCTAAGGTTGCTTCTGTATAAATATGACTAATAATGGCTTAGTTGTTCTTGAGAAGAAGATTTTAAAGATATTTCCTATGTAAAAGCTTTTTACAGTAGAAAAGGATTTATCAAGAAAAACTTTCAAAAAGGTAATTAACTAAGCAGTAATTAATTAACAAAGATTGCATTGAAGTCTATGGGGACAAGCAATTTGTTTAAAAAAATATTCAAATTATAAGAATATTAATAAATACTGTGGTGGAAAGATGCATTAAAACATTAGAAATAAAATGACAATTGAAAACGATTTTTTTTACCAGATAAGTTTTTTTAAAATTCATTTTTTTTTTATTAATTAAAAATAGAGGGAGATAACCCCTACATGTACCAAAATTCAAGGTCATAAATTAGGACACATCCCACCCTTACATGCTAATAGTAATAAATGGGAATTATGTCTAAATATACTGAGTTAATACACCTACACATCTGTTATGTATTCAATTTCATTGAATCTGTTGCTATTACGGATGGAATACCTTAACTTCTTTATTTCTGATTCAGCATCCTACTTCTTCAACTAGCTTCTGAATGCCTGACTTTCCCAAAGCTTTTGCCTTATATACCCTTTCGTTTGGCTAGTCCATTCCAAGAGTTGTCAGGTCATTCCATTATTTGAGGTCTTCAACGCGTTTTACTCGAATGCCGCTTAACCATTACACCTATATGTTCCTATGGTGAACTTTGACCCACTGTTGTGGCCCCGCCCTATTCCTGGGGGTCATGATTTGAACAAACTTGAATCTGGTCTACCTGAGGATACTTCTGTAATAATATGACTAATAATGGCTTAGCTGTTCATGAGAAGATTTTGAAAGAGATTTTCCTATATATATTCCTATGGTGAACTTTGACCCCCTGTTGTGGCCCTGTCCTACCCCTAGGGGTCATGATTGGAACAACTTGAATCTACACTACCTGAGGATACTTCTGTTATAATATGACTAATCATGGCTTTGCTGTTCTAGAAAAGAAGATTTTTAAAGACGTTTCCTATAAATTCCTTTATAAAATTTCGACCCCCTCTTGTGGCCCTGCCCTACCGTCGGGGGTCATGATATGTATAAAATTGAATCTACAGTACGTAATGAAGCTTTCACATAACTTTTATCTTTTCTTGCCAAGTGGTTCTATAAAAGATGCCACCAAATTTTCACGTATTCTTAATTATCTCCCCCTTGAAACAGGGCGTGGCACTTCCTGTGAACAAATTTTAATCCCCTTCACCCAAGGATGCTTTGTGGCAAGTTTGGTTGAAATTGGCCCAGTGATTCTTGAGAAGAAGTCGAAATGTGAAAAGTTTACGCACTATAGACGACAGACGGACGCAGGACACTCTTTGATCAGAAAAGCTCACTTGATCGAGCCTTCAGCTCAGGTGAGCTAAAAAGCTGTGTAAAAGAATGGAAGGACTACTTGTGCATGGTGTCCCCATCTATCAATAAATTTACAGCATATCAGCCTTTTTTTTAACCAGTGTAAACTCTGGATTGGTCCCTTGGGATCTTTACTAAGAGGGAAAAAACACACACATATATCATTCATGATTTTTCCGAACTTTTCTTGTATATATGTGACTGATGACTGATACATGAGCTAGATAAAACAAAAAAGGAATATAAGGTCTTAAAATACATTACACTCACTTAATAGGTTGCAAAGCACTACACACTACAGAAGAAGAAACAAGATAATGTTTCTGATTTAAAATTTATTATCTAATTTGTATGAATGACATCATTTTATATCAATTACATGTACATTCATATATCTATCTAATTTAGCCATCAAAAACTATTTTTGCATAGAATATGTGCTGAGTTAGTCTAATTTCAACCCAAATGACTAGTTCATTTCTAGGAGAAAAAGTGGACTTCATTGAGTTAAAATTAATGAATAAACTGAAACTTAGCAAAACTCTTGGTCATCAAGTTCAGTACAATCTTGCTTTAGATCTAAGTTAAAATAATAGCATAAAAAACCCAATAACCAAATTTAATATCTGTTGATAACTGAAATGTAAAATATTGGTCATCTAACTGGAGATTCTATTTAAAACTTACGGTGAGTCATAACTGAATTTAATACATGTATATAGATGTCTACACAGGAATATTTTCACATTAAAAAAAAACTATCACATTTTTTTTTACCAAAATGATCACCCACATACTAGTACCCATTTTTTTTAGTTTGAAAGAAATAAAAAAAAAAACATGTACATATAAATTAAGCCTCAACAAAAGAATTTCTGTATGTTGAAAACAGCTAGTCCATGTTCAAATACAAAGATGGCTGTATTTAAAGTAAGATAATGGCTACACAGGCAATGAGACAGAATCACCTATGTGTCACACAGTACTGAGGAGAAACTCATAGTTGTATGTTGCATCATGAAAAATCATCTGTTCAAACAAGACTCTTATCCAACCTTTCAATAATCAATGATTTGAAACTCAATTTTCTACATTATAAAATCAGCTGAAAAAAAACTTCTCTTTTTAACATCATTTCTGTGCAAATATTTTGATGTTTTATTTAAACGGTGCCTATTGATTAATGAAGATAGTTATGAGGTGTAATTGCATTATCGATGGTAAAACTTGTCAAATTTGTCAATATCATTGTCTGTACTCACTATAAAAACCATGTAATAGCTCCTAATGTGAATAAAAACCTGGGAAAACATGTCAATTTGGAGGGAAGCATTTTCTAAGTATCACAGTAAATTCATTTACCTAAGACAAACACAGATTGCATAATGCAATTGGAATTTTACATTTCAATGCAGGACGGCTCAACAAAGTGTACAATGAGAATTACACAGATCTACTTGAAGTTAATGTACATACAAATAAATACATCTACTGATTACTAAACGTATAAATTATGTAACAAAAATACAAAAATATCATCTGAGAATTATGTACAAGAAATATCTTTGGCACATTGGTAACAACCTGATAAAACGTTTAGTTATACAATATCTAATTAGACCTTCTTGATTAGCCAACAACTGCAAAATCAGCACTTCTCTAATTATTTCTAGCATGTATGCATGATTCCTGCATATATTTTAATGATTTAGAGCACCATTTTCTATAATTCTTTTTGATCATTCACTGCAAGATCAGTAAATAACTTAAATTCAGTAAACAAAAGTTCAAAAATGTAATGAAAAGCTTTGAACATTGTCACACATTTATGAATACTTTAATCCATCACAAAATCTTATTATGTGAAAAATAGGAAATATCACAAATTTCTTTCGTGTTTTATGTATGTATTCTGTTTCATTTAAAATATTGTAGTTTTGTTTTTTTTTTTTAACATTTCATGACTTTTACTTTCATAAATCAGCTACTGAATCATATCATGTTGTTTTAAAGATTGAAAAAAATCTACATAAGTCACATATCTAATGAAATTCCTGAACTAAGCTGCAGAGAATAATAATATTAATATATTGTAAATACAACCTCATTAGCTGATCACATATCACAGTGAAAAAAAGGAATAATATTGTTTTGTTTTGTAATCAGGCAGTTGACTCATTGATGACTACATGCTTTTTCTTCTTGCCCTTGCTATCCAGGGACCCCGTCAAGTCTACCTCGCTTCCTGTACCCACGTCTCCGCGATTCTTCTTTCTGTAAAAATAATAAACTTATGATAAATAAGTCCAACAAAATGGAACAATTTCTTAGAAGCTTGTGACTCTTTAATTTTTCAGGTATGAAAAACAACTATTTCCATAAAATGTCCTGCCTACTATTTTGATTGTTAGAAAAGAATATTGCTTGAGGAAAGTGGGACATTCAATTAACAGGTACAGGTATATATATAAAACTTCTTGTTAGACCAACTTTTCATGGTCTGAAGGTTAATGACTCTAAATATAATGGATGTTCAAAATTCTGCATTATTCAGATTTTTGGGAGAGAAAAAATGCTGAAAAAAAAAATGTTTCATTTTCTTGGAGCCCTTTAACAAAGTTGAAGCTAATATTTTGTAAGTATATGAAGTCTAACATTTTGATATCCATGAAGTATCAATTAATTACAAACCACAATATATAGCAGAGCTTGACATATGGATGAAGAGTATTCACCTTCATTCATTCTATGACCAAGAGATCATTGACCTTTTACCTGTTTATTTCTCATCAAGCTATACACTAAAACATGCTTAAATCAAACATGCTTATAATGAATTGACACCTACAGCGAAGTGATTTTCATTCCCCATGGCTTTAAAATATATTGTAAACTTAAAACAGATATAATGAATTACCTTTTTAATAAAGCAAAATCATCCAAAACTGGCACTTCATTATAAACCTGTTTTACAGTATTTTACTTAATTATCGTCTCCGTGCCCAGGAGGACTTCTGAGGCTATTTACAGTATTTTACCTACTTCCTTATCCTCTCCGTGCCCAGGAGGACACATGAGGCTGTTTACAGTATTTTACTTAGTACTTAATTATCCTCTCCGTGCCCAGGAGGACACATGAGGCCGTTTACAGTATTTTACTTTACTTATCCTCTCAGTGCCTAGGAGGACACATGCGGCCGTTTACAGTATCTTAAATGATTCTCAATTTGAATCCTAGTAAGATTATTTCTATTCTCTTCTTTATAACTGTTTGTGCTATTTTTTAATTTATAACAGGGTGTATATAAGTCTTTAGTCATTCATTTTCTCTTGAATTATCAGGACTAACTTTTTCAGTAAATTTCCAGTAAACAAAAAAAATGTAATACTATATAGTTATTATTACGTTAATTATTATTAGAGTATTACATTTTATTTGTTTATGGAAAATTTCGGTAAAATTTATGTCCCATGCAGCACCTTTCCCTGGCTTCACCGTGACCCAGGCAGCCCCAATCCTGGATTTCAACACGTCTCAGGCAGCCCAAATTCCGGGCTTCACCCCAATACCCAGGCAGCCACAATCCTAGGCTTCACCATGGTCCGGGCAGTCCCAATCCTGGATTTTAACATGACTCAGACAGCCCCAATCCTGGATTTCAACATGACTCAGGCAGCCCCAATCCCAGGCTTCACCCAATACCCAGGTAGCCCCAGTCCTTGGATTTACCCATTACTCAGATAGCTCCAAACATCCTACTTATCAAATGACTTTTTGCCTTGTGCCTGATGATTATTTTTATAAAAGAGAGTGGTCATTTCATTCTAAATCTTATTTTTAATTTAGACAACTTAAAACTTCCATTATCATCATACTTTTAAAATATATATTTTAGATTTTTAAACTATTGAATATACGCTCTTCAATATTATATACATAATTTTTTTCTCCAAGAATTTGTGATTGAAGTACACTATATTGCTCTTTTAATAAGTTTACTCATAAAAAATTGATATACATTACCAGTCATTTGTGCAAGATTCCAGAGGATGGTATTTCCTGTATAATTCTATTGGAAATCCCTTCAATTCCTGATATTACAATTTTTTGCTTTATATATTACTTAAGTAATTTTGAAAACAGTTTAGAAATCAGAAGATATAATACAGTCATGTACTTATAAATATTTTTGGTATATTTCAAAGATATACAAAACAGAATTTCTAGGAATGTGTCATCAGACCTTTACTACATGTACTATTATTTCATAGAAGATCCATGCAGAAGTCATGTGTACATGTAGCTTCTGTCTAACATGAAACCAATAAAATAGGACTTGAAGTATCGGGTAGTTAGTCAAGTGTCTCCTATGAATATAATGGAAAACTTTTATCTTTTAGGGGAAAAGCTCATGTAATTTACTGAGTGAACAAATCTAAAGGTTGACAGTCAGAAAGCACAATACACAGTAACTAATTTGATATTAATGATATACAGTGCTTTACTGGAACAAATCCTGAAAGATATCTATACTGAATAAAACATACACTGCATCTACAGATCAAACTGCCATTGTGTCCCCAGCTGCCTGTTTTAAAGCAGTAATGGTACACCTTAATTGTATGGCTGCTAGTCAAACTGCATTTCACTTTCCTCTTGGAGAAAAAAATGATGATGTCGTGTCCCATAAATAATTGATATTAAAATATTTCCTTTTGACAGAACAAATACCCTCACCAGGTAATGAGGGGACTGATGGACAAAGATAGGCAAACAATTTCAAACTAAATGGAAATGGGTTTTAATATTTCATCATCTTTGCCTTTCAACCAGAGCACTGAAACACAGCATGACTTCACAGGTGACTGCCCTTGAAAATATATGAAGTTAAACAAAAAATCTAATTCCTTTAGTGGAATGGAGTTCTCCAATATAGGTCTATTGTTTTTGAATAAATTACAATGAATTTTTCCTATCAAATGTGAAGTTGTCTTGAATGTCATTTATTATTCTGTTGTTTAGTTTTTCTTTACGACTCCCATTTTTAGAAAAAACTATATAATACTATAATAACTACATATATAGTATTACATATATTTTTTTTGTTTACTGCAAATTTCAGTAAAATTGATAGGTATGCCTACTTCTGTGGTTAAAGCAAATGAAAAATCTTTCTCTTCTCTCATTTGTCACACACTATAAAGAGAACACAAAGAATGCAGGTAACTGATGATTTATGAAACCTACCCAATTATACAGTTTTATGAAACCTACCCAATTATACAGTTTTAAACATCATGATTTTTTCTTTGTAATTTTAAAAGCTCAGCATGGGTAAGCAATAAAAAATCAATTTTAAACAATGAAAGTACTGGTCTAATCAGGTCAGTTCAGATCTTTATGCAATATTAATGACACAAACCAAAATGTTAACTCAAAATCCAGATGTTGTATCTTAAAAAGTTCTTAAAAAACAGATGTTGCTAAATACTCCACAATAAGAAAAAGCAAAACCAATCGTCTCACAATTGCAGTTAAAATGTTAAATTATTGATTTTATATATCCCCATTGGTGATTAAGTAGACAGCATCTTTAAAATGGTAGACTACTTTATTATTTCACTCAGAAAACAATCAGGGAATAGAATAGGTAAGGGGCAAAGATCAATATTGATGAGTTTTTAATCTATTAATGGCAGAAAAAGTGGTACATGTACTAGCATTGAAATTATGTTTAATTACATGGCGAATTAAGAAGTAATCTGTAGCAGTATATGTAAAGACAAAATCCTGAATTTCTGTTTTAAAAGCAAATTTTATACACATTGGATTTTCTATCTTTTATGGTATACTTCAAGTGAGCATACATGTTATACATGCTACAAATCCTACCCATACAGGCAACAGTGTCTGCAGAGCTGGGCATGAGGATTATTGACTGATAAAAACTTGGGATAACTCTTCTCAAAGTAAAAATATATATTAACTGGACTTCAGTTATACACTATAATGATAAAAACTTGGGGTAACTCTTCTCAAAGTTAAATATATGTATAACTGGACTTCAGTATATATATATATATAAGACCAGTATGTGGAGTAGTAGTATAAGGCATCCATTAATTGGGGTCTGTACTTCTGACTGTATTTTTGATTTGAACATAAACTTCAATATCTGATTTGAACATGAACTTCAATATCTGATTTGAACATGAACTTCAATATCCACAGCTCTGCTACATGTAAATTGTAAAGTTTATATACAGTGCCATCAAGTAAGAGATATATATCCAGGTTCAACTGTACACGATTTCACTGACCTATATATGTAGATACTTAAACTAAAGGGATGCCATTGCCCTCATTCCCTGCCAGGACTTCCATTATCGCCTATGTGCAAGTTTCTTTCAAAACACATTGACATCAAATTGTTAACCAAACCATGTTGCCTACAGTTATTACATATGCCTATCAAGATTTGTCTATCCCAACCAAAAAACATTAAATTTTCCAAAAACAATTGTGACAAAGTCAACAGTAGTGACCACTTCTTGATATTTGGTGGTATGACCTAGGAAAACAATTCTATTTTGTTTTCTCTTACATCCATCAAGGATATTGTCTGGCTGTGAATACACAAATGCATAGAACACAGAAAGCAAAATTGTTTGAAAGTTTGTTGTAGAAACTTGACCTTTGAACTGACTTTAAAAAATTTTTAAAATATCAACTTCTGGTCTCTTAACCCACTGAACTGTACAAGTTTAAAAGTATGAAGGTGATATATTATGACGAATGTGTCTGTGTGACAATAACTGAGTTGGTGTAACATTAAAGTTTCTCTACTCTCGTCCCTCAATAGGGATGCACATTTTTGGACCCTCCAACCAGAACGGAACAATATTAGATTGTTTTTGATCATGAAACTGTCTTGATTTTTATGCTCTCGTAATCAAAGATTCGGAGGTATATATATAGTTTTTCCCCTGTCCATCTGTCTGTCTGTCTGTTGTTTTTTTTTTTTTTTTTTTGTTTTGAAAAATAAAAACCAGAATACTTAAGAAGAGTTACTGTCCAGATTCCAAAGTGTGACAGATGGATAAGGTGGTCACTCTCACACCGATTCTCTGGGACTTGTCAGCAAGAGACAACAAATATTTGTTTTGTTTCATTCCAAGTTTTCATCCCATATCATTGCCTGTGTTTGTTTTAGTTACATAATCAATGTCCTCATACATCAATCAAATTAAATATTTAGGATTTCAAATGAGAAAATGATGTAATTTGCTACGTTTTATTAGTGATATTGATGATCATTTTACGGAACGATTGATCTAAATATAAGCCATCCTAATCACAATATAAGATAAATTCAATTCTGATGAAATATTCAGATACAGGCTACTGAAACTAGAATCCTTGCTTTGTGATAAAAAAGATTACGTAAAATGTTTTTTTCATGGCTGATCCCTCGACATTTACACACCACAGTTAATGTTATCCATCAAAAATGTTATTTTCAGTGAGCGAACAATAACATAAATTGCAATTTGAAAATTAAATTCCAAACCATAAATGTACCATCATAAACAAATTGTATATTAAAATAAGTGAATTATAGTTAGTTTTCAAACACTTTTTTTTACCCATTTATTCACTTGCTGAAATAAAATTGACAATAAATCTACATGTTACATACAGCTATTCTAACAGTACTTAAAATATAATAGAACGGGGTCAGCAAAACTGGCTACCTTCACAGTATGGAGTTGTTAAAACATTTGCTTTGAAAAATTTAAAAAAATTATTTGAAATTCCTGAAAATAATTTCCATTCTGTAATAAAGGATATTTAACTTCTGATTTTCAAGCAATATATGCAGATACCATGTGCATGATAACTTTATAACATATTCAAACAATTTTTTTTTTGTGTAGTGTTCAATAAAAAAAAGAGAAAAAAAACTACAAAAGCTAGAAACAAATAAAGATAATAAGTATACCTGTATAAGCCCTATACATGAAGAGATTAAATGAATGCTTACTTTGGCTTGGCTTCCAGTAGGTCTTCATCAGATTCCTCAGCACCAGACAGGAACTTCAGCTCACCGGTCTTAGTTCTGTAGGCCGTGTACTACATAACAGACACAACAATACAGGAATTAATGGTATCGTTATTGGTATCAGTAGAGCACTATTCATATGAAGCTAGAATACCCTACATTATGTAAGGAGTTTTCCACTCACCTTTTTCTTGACTGCTGTTTCATCATCATCCTCATCACTGTCATCAATAGGTCTGTTGTCTGCAATGCTGTCTGAATCTGGAAAAAGAAGTACCATACAGTAAAACATAAGACAATAGCCAGCAATTCTATAACACTGTCCTACGTATCAAGGTATAGAGTACCCTGCACTCAAAATCCTACGAAAATAAATCTGTTAAATTGACAAAGCATAGACATAGATTGTTTGTCATTAATGCAAGCTAATGGATACAACTGTGTTCCTACTCTCTTACTAATTACATACTATGCTTCAGTTCTGTAATATTCTGCTTAAATTAACTGAGAAAAAAGAAATAGACATACATGCAGTTCATACCAAGTCAAGAAAATGGACATAACTTTTTTAAAATAAAAACATTTTGGGTGATTAAATATTGACAGAGTTTAATATATTTATGGAAAACCTTTAAAAAAATATTTCAGCAATCGCACAAGGAACATCAGATTACGTATTTCACAATGAATGAAAGAATTACAGGAAAACATAGCTGTACACTCATGTGTAAATTACATACCCTCTTCAGCCACATAGCTGGAGGGAAAGAACCCTTGCTGACCATCAGGGAGTTCTCCCATCCACCAATTATCATTGTCTTTGTAAAGTACAGTTATAACATCTCCCTTAAATATTGTCAGCTCATCAGAACGCTGGGCTCTGTAGTCATACAGGGCTACCACCTACAGAAAACATTCAGATCAGATCATCACAATTCAAAGGACCAAAGATTGCAAAGGAAATTTAAAATTTTAATAATGAATGAATTCTATTTATTTAATCAAACCTGATCCTATTTATCAGTAAGATTTGCTCACCTGTTTCTGGCCGACTGATTTACCAGCAGGAGCTTGGAAGGAGAACTGGGCTTTCCCACCTTGTTGCTGAAAGTATATTACAAAGACAATTACTTTTTCATTGTCTGTTATGTACACATAATATTCATTTCATATGAAAAAAACCCATTGACTTTCAAAACTTCACAGGAATTACACAAAAACTATCTCAATTTTCTTTCTTTCTGTTTTGGTTTTTCTTTTTTCCTTTCATGTTTAGCATTACATGTATATTTGGTTTTCGTTTGTTTATTTATTATCTATCTATTTTTATTTTTTTTTCTTTTTGATAAAGAGAAATCTTGTTTTAGATACTTACTTGTGTGAGGGAGATTGTTGGTGCTCTGCCAACAAACGTTGGACTAGAGCTTCTTGCACCATGGCGACCAACTGAAAACAAGGATAAAAAACATAAATTTCTTGTACTTCAGTGTTTGTGAAAGTAATAATTTTTAGTTTATTTCTAAAACTTGATATGTGGCCTACCCTCTGTAAATCCTGGTCTCCAATCAGTATCTCCGGTCTTCAGATAAAGGTTTTGATTGGAGAACTGCTGCTGCTGCATGATACCAGTCATGGTACGAGATGCATGGGGTGAGAATGCCTGAGGGGAGGCCATCTAAACAGTAAGAAGTCTCATTTATATGGATGTACATGTAACCTGACTCAGAATAGTACCGACTCATATATTATGTTATAAATACTGAACAAGTGGAATATTTAGCGGGACGCAAATTTAGTGATTTATCCCAAAAATTTGGTATATATTTTCTAGTGAGAAGTAATTATAGCGATTTTATAATGTCAAGAAAGATAGCTATAACAACCGATATGGAATAAATTGTTAGTGATATTCAATTTTAGCAATCTCAAACCCCTCGCTAATAATGGCGAAATTGAATCCTCACTAAAAATCCTGCTTATACAGTGATACATTTCAATATTATCTTCATTCTGTTTCATAATAATAATTTCAACTGATTACATACTATTTTTCCACTTACAACTTCTGACTGATTTATAATAATGAATAAATACCATGGTTCTAGGGGTCATGGAACCCATCATCAATCCCGTGTGGCCCATGCGTGGGGTAGAAAGTGGAACCCCAGGCAGATCCATGGCAGGGGCAGTTATCTGAGCCTAAAGATAAAACACTAAACTGTAACATGGTGCAAGATTTTACTTTATAGCTTACTCTCAACAGTTAACAGATGTACTTGTACAGTAGTGATTTAAATTATCATGAGGAAGTACTTTGTACAGAGCTAAATTCTGTAAACTAGAGGTCATACTAACTGTAGCACTATTGAGTTTTCTCATCACTTTCTCAAATCTGGCGGTAGCATGTGCCTGGAATTCATCTTTTGTCAGAATTCTGGTTCCTAGAGTTGATGTGGCTTTCATTGTGTCCTCTTTTCTAGGGGACCTTAGAAATAAAAGATTTAAAATTCATTTTATAGATAGTTAAAAAAAATAATTACAAGTCTTTGAGATGGTTTTGAGGAAATAAAGTCTCAAGCATATATGTAGCTCTTGCCACTTAATTCCGTACAACACAGATCAATACATGAATCTATTTTTTACAGAACTTAAGATCTTTTTATCCTTATAATTTTCATTTGAGAGTCTCTGGATGATAACTATATATACCTTTAGTCTACGTATGTCACTATATACACCTTTAGTCTATGTATGTCACTATCTACACCTTTAGTCTACGTATGTCACTATCTACACCTTCAGTCTACGTATGTCACTATCTACACCTTTAGTCTATGTATGTCACTATCTACACCTTTAGTCTATGTATGTCACTATCTACACCTTTAGTCTATGTTTGTCACTATCTACACCTTCAATCTACGTATGTCATTATCTACACCTTTAGTCTATGTATGTCACTATCTACACCTTTAGTCTATGTATGTCACTATTTACACCTTTAGTCTATGTTTGTCACTATCTACACCTTTAGTCTACGTTTGTCACTATCTACACCTTTAGTCTATGTATGTCACTATCTACACCTTTAGTCTATGGATACACAATGGAGAAGTAAAGGTAAGATTGGTTCAAAAGGAGAGAATAAACAGACTAGAATTTACACAAATATATCTTTGACTTTAAAATTTAATTTTACTTATTCAAGGACACTACACATCCTGACTCATGATAAGAATGAACCAGACTGGGCAAGAGGAATAAAACTGACATTCAGCCTAGAGATTATAAAGGTTATACAGTGAAACCTGTCTTATCTGACATGCTGTTGGAAATAAAATCAATGTCGGATTAGGCAGTGTGTCAGATTATCCAGTGTTGAATATTTCTAAGCATAATTATCATCAGTGTCAGATGACTTCATACAAAAAAAAATCGTTTTTCAATAGGTTTAGAATACACGTATATATAATTGTCAAAGCGTTTGCATGATTGTGTTTCTTTTTTGTATAAGATATACCTGATTAGCATTTCTTTGAGAAACAACATTTGTGATATAGAATTAGTAACTCTGTAGTAATATACAATGATTTTTTTCATGGACAAAACAGATGGAATTGCCAATCGCTTCGCGATGTTGCAACTTAATTTTTACTTATTGACAGTATAGTAAATAAAAGTAAATATTTCGTTTACCTTCTCTACACCAGTGGTATTATTTTTTTCAAAAGATTTTCGCCATTGTTTATTTTTCAACATAGACTGTGCTATTAATACCATCTTGCAACTTTTTATACAAACGGGACGTACTGTAGATTCCTTATTTTTCTCGAGTACTTATTATCACGAAATGGGTCTTTCACGTCAAATCGCGAGAACAATAATTCGCGAGTGGACGGTTGATTAAGGGATTTTATATTGATTTCAGCACCATAAAAATAAAAGCGAGTAATTTTATTTCACGAGTGGTGCTTCTCGCGTAATTACGCAATAATTAATTCCTCGCGTATATTTAGGAATCTACAGTAACTCTAAAACATTGTGATTGCGATTGAATTTTAATCAAACAGACGTAATATTTTAAAATTTAGTGGACAACTTAAAGCGGTATTTTTTGGTTCCAGCAAATCTTTTATGTGCACAGCCTCGCTTTATTAAGTGTATATTAACCCAGAAATGAAATGTTTCCCATTAGACAAGATGCAGCCTTCAAATTGTGTATTGTGTACATGCTACATAGAAGTTCGCCATACTTATCTTTTTATTTTCATTACATGGCTTTACAAAGGACTCTGGCTGCATATTTGATTTTAATTTCAAACTAAAAATCTTATTTATTCTGTAAGGTAAAGGCGATCTTAATATCATGTACTATTTTTATTTTCTGTCGCTTGGATGCTATTTTGTCAATGCGAGAATAAAATTGATAACTACAAAGAGAAATGATTGCCTTACTTTCAATTTCAAAAACCGTTCATTTTTCTGCTTAAATAAACACTTTCAAACTCGTACGTGTAATTAACTACTCTCTAAGAAGACCAGTCTTGTGACCAAATGAGACATTCATGTTACCTGGCCAGCGGCCAATTACGGTACACCAGTGTAATTATGTCGGATTACTCAGGTGAAATAATAAAGTAATTATCTAGTTTTGTTGACAAAAAAGTGCTGGAATTCGGAATGTACAGTGGTCGGAATATACAGTGTTTTATTCTATATAAATCATAAAGATTTTTGGGGGAATAAAATATGAGGACAGAAAGTCCAGTGTGCCGGATTGCACAGCTGTCGGATTGGACAGTGGGCACTGTATTATGGTCTTGATCTTTCTGAGATTTTACACTTAAGTCTGTTTTTGATCTTGACCCTAAGTTAGAGAGCTGGTTTAAGGCCCTCCTTCATCAAAGGGACATTTTATGAGTAGGGCAAGAAGGTTTAAAGAACAGAGAAAGATGATATACATGTACTATGGACTATTCTTTAACGGATATACACATAGACTGGTATCACTATAAAATTCTTGCAGAGCTAGAACATGAACAGATATTCTAAAATTGATACACACCCAGGTAATGTAGTAGAATGTGAAATCTCTTCAGGTTGTGTGTACTCTGGTACATTGATTTGTCTAGGGGATAATCCAGCATCTATCTGAGCAACTACAATGCATGAAAAGATCCGATTTGATATGCATGTTAATGTATTTGTTTTTACTTGTTTCTTTAACAGAAAATGTGAATATTGTGAAGTTTGATTGTAGTAAATAAGGAATTACTGTGAGGATCATAGTTATAGATGAGGATTGGTTGGTTGTCACCCAGGGAACACAGCGCCATCATGTGGTCTCTAGGGTGATACTCCACATCTGTCACAGGGTACTGATAATTCAGCTCAGAGAACATGGCCACCTGGTCACCTGAGAAAAACATACAAAGCAAATAAGAATAATACAATATTTTTATTATTTTCCTTATCTTTTGAAGGGGAAGACTTAATCTGCAATCCCGCACATTTAATATTTGATTTTTTTTTTATTTGAATATTTATTCTTCTAGTAATATAAAATATTAATGACTGTTCACCATTACACAGTTATATTGATTTTAGCTACACATGATGATAAATTATCTTACCTGTCTCTGTGTTCCAGGCATACGCAAAATTATCCTCACTCCCAGCGAAGACAAATGACCCACATGGAGTCAAAGTACTGTGAATTTCTTCTCTAAAATTCAGGGCACCAATGTATTTCTGCATCACTCTTTGTCTGAAAACAAAAACCAAATCTTAATGATTAACTATTCAATATAATTTCATTTTAATTTTGTCACTTTAATACACTGCTTCCCCTGAAAATTCTTCCTTGCTCCTCCCATTACCCTTCCAGGGAACAAAACTTTGTCAAAGAGGTTGATTAATATGAATAAAATTTTTCATACATATATCTTTGATTCTCTTTTTTCCGATCTTTAAATATCTTTACCTATGTAAATGTATTTTACTGAGCCACTCTTCATTTGAAAACATCTTCTTCACAAAATTAACTTACACCCTGAGATCAAACATTCTGATGATGTTGTCCCTGCTGTGTACCAGGAGTCGTCTCCCATTCTGATGAAGGGTCAGGCAGTTTATGGGGACATCCTTAAGCTCGGGGTCAAATATTTTTTGGTAAAGCGTCCAGTCTCTCTCCCATCCTGTAAAAAAAAAATAAATTCTAATCAGTCTGCAAATACCAAGGGAAAATCAATTATTTATTCTAAACAAGCAGATCAATTTAATTAATTGTCAGTATATTTGTTACAGAATATTGCTGAATTTTACCTAATCTAGGTTCTTGTTCACCAACAAACACATTGAATATTAGGACATTTCCTGCACTGTCTCCAGAATACATCTTTCCACCATCTTCTTCAAATATCAGTGTGTTTACTAGCCCTCTATGGTCCTCTATTTCCTGTTTCAGCTATAGATAAACATTGCACTATGTATCCATTGTATGTCTATGTTTTAGTTCTGTTTATTTAACAATAGTGTGGGCTTTAATCAACTCTTAAAAGAGGTCTTTAGGCCTTACAATCATCTGAGCGTCACCAAGTAAGTATGCCTTGAATCATGTGTTCTTTTTATCCTTAGCTATCCCTTAATAAAACATGAGAGCCCTAATGCATCTTCTAAATATTTATAGGGCAATGAAGTGAACAAATTTTCCTTAGGTACGGACCTTAATTTTAAAACTTCTTCAAAATAAAAATCAGAAACTTACAACTCCATGTTGCTCTGGACCACTGATGTCCCAAACACGGATCACCTGATCATAACCTCCCGTGGCAATCACAGTGTCCAGTCGGGGGTGAAATTTTGCTGTGTACACAAAGCCAGGATGGGGAAGGAGTTTCTCAGAGAATTCAAAATTTTCCATGTTCCAAACTCTAAAAATGTCATAGTTCTAAATATTTAGTAATGTTACAGTACATAAAACTCAATGATATAATCATTCAGATCACACAATAAATTTCTTCTATAACATGGTCAGTAATGCTGTCACCTTGCTGTTCCATCTGAAGATGCAGACAGAAGATGTGTGTCTCGTTTGGACCAGCTCAGATCATACACCAGGCCAAAGTGGCCTTTTAATTTTCCTCTCAGCTCAAATGATGGCACCTTGATAAAACACAGAAAAATTTCAGAGATCTTTTTTTTGATTCACCAAAAATGTGTAATTGGGAACAGCTGTGTGAGACATGCAATATATTAGTGCTTCAATAGCTATACTTACAGGCCCCTGAAGTCTAAGTCAAAAATCACAGGACAATACAAATATCCCCAAAACTGAGGAGTTTTTTTCCACAATTAAAGACTATCAGATGCAGGGACATGTTCAATGTATATCATTATGTTTTCATAAAATTATAATTTGCAAAAATATTTTAAAATATATACAAGTATATACATATATTTACCTCGTAAATTAATATCAGATACATATGTATATGTGTATATTTACTTCGTAAATTAATATCGGATACATATGTATATACATATATTTACCTCGTAAATTAATATCGGATACTGATCTCTATCATTACAAGCACAAGCTAAGCTTCGCCCATCATGTGAGAACCTTAGCATAAAACATCCCTTCCTCCCAGCTGGGAGGGTAGCATGGAGGGTGTTCGGAATCCGGCAGGTCTGACCAGCCAACCGTGACCATGAGGACAAAGTTTTATGTTCTCCCCTACAACGACATCAAATATCTCTTACTGATCTGCTTCACTTACTGTACAAACTAGTATGAAATGTTCCACATGTAATTTATGTGGAATACAAAGCTATTCTGCATTATGTGTCCATATATACAGTTGAACTTCGGTATCTCGAACTCATATGTCTTAAATACCAAGGATATGTTAAAGTGAGTTGAAAGTCTCAACCACTATATTCTTATTGTATTTTAACCTCAAAATCTCGAACCTTTTGGATATCTCAAAGTTTTCCTCGGTTCCACTGAGATCGAGAAAATGAAGTTTAACTGTATATGCTTTCTTAGTATATATATACATAAGTTTGTGGATCAAAGACAAAATAAAACAGCATATCTCTGAAAATGGAAATACATCCAGCGTAGAATTGTAGAAAAGGAGCAAAATTTATGCTAATTGGAATGGTTATCAATATTCTTTAATGTAATCAAGAAATTTGAAACACATGCATACATTCTCTAGCTTATAAACTGAGTCCATTGCTGGAGTCTACTGATAACAATCTATCTTGATATTCATGACCTTTTTTGTTACTTTTTCATTTTTAGTTTATGAGAACACTTTCTTGGTCACAGTCTTCTGAGTGTTTATTGAGTTTTTTTAAAAATAAAATAGGAATCTGGATGTTACATGGAGGAATAAACAGGGCACAATATTGTGTTTGTTAGTCATGCTTTTGTGAAGGAAGAGAAACATCACTTGTGAATTTCAACTTAACGATTCAACATGATTGTGATATCAATCAACAATTAATTGTAACAAACTAGCCTGTACACAAGCTGAATGCTCAAACAAAAGTCTTACCATTTTTTCTTCCTTTAAAAACATGAAGTAAAACTGTTATGAGGACATTGATAAAGAGCAGCCTATACATGAACTACATTACTGAAAAAATAATGCAGTCAAAGAAATGGGTTACGTGTCTTGTCATGATACTGAACTTTAACTTAAAGGAAATTTTAATGAGAAACTCCCTACTTTTTCTTTTCTCCCCATTGTGTACTTTTCTTCAGATCTGTGTATGTACGGTGGCCAACCTCCTACAAAACATTCATTTGAGCAAACTTTAAAGTATAATCGACCAACAGGCAATATATTATACATGTGTATGAGAAAACAAACTCCAGCTTTCTTTAATCTGTATACATGTACTAGAATCACAGGAAAAAATTACTTAATATGATAATAATTTTAGACTTTCTTCTTCATTGAAAAACAAAACGATCTACAAGTAATCCCTTTAAGTGTCTTTATACCATATATACTCGCCTATAAGTCGGTTGTATTTTTTAAGCTTAAATTAGAGGGATTGACCCCCTTAAAAACCAATCTTTTTATAACTCGCATATAAGTTGGATAAAGAGTTTTGGACCAAAGTTTAACTCCCAAAAAACACTGACTTATAGGCGAGCATATACGGTAAGTGTTTTCTAAACATGCATTCTTAAAATAAGTAACAAACCTCCTGTGTAGCAAACATGGACCTCATCAGGGCTGGTTCCACATCCCGTGGGGGGTGGATTCCTTTGATGGTGACGTACAGAGTGGAGGGGTAAGGCTCCCTCTTCATGCTTCTCCACCACTTGTAGACCTGACCATGTGTAACAGGACAATGCCATAATTAACCCATAATGTAAGAGATACAAATATGTCTGAGCTAAGTTACATTGGACTAATCTGTATTACGTACATGTATGTGTAATCATAATTATTATATTGTAAACATACTTCTTTTAGCGTTAATCATATTTTAGCACCTTTTGTGCTGCTCCTTGTCCGCTAATTTATATACAGGCTAATATATGATTAAAACAAAAAACTGTTGTTGTTAAAACTCTAAAGCACTAATTTATGATTGTGCTAATCTGATGAAGAGGACAACTGCACCAAATTTAGATTGTGCTAATTTAAGAACATTCATAGTATGTCATGCCCCACAATGCCCTAATTTGGAAATAATTCTATTCTATTCTGTATATGTGAATATAATTAAGATGATTTAAACTGTTGTTCCTGAATAATGCAGATGGTTTAATCTGTGTTCCTGTATAAAGCTTTGAAACTTTTAAGATTGCTTACTGTCACTTTTCAGTGCTTAAATGGAATATAATATGAGTTTACAATGTTTTTTTAAAGATATGAAATGTTAAGCTAACAAAATTCTACCTCCAGCTGGTTGGGTTTGGGGCGAGAGTTATTGGGAGGGATGAATAACTGCAGCCTCACTTTGGAACCAACATTTAATTTGTCATTATTTCCACGAATCTGAAAAAAGGAAAAAAAGGAATGATTTGGAGTTGATTAATATACAACCACCAAATTCAATAATTTTCTTTTAAAGCTGTTAAGAATTGTAATTTTTGAAAATATAAGCCAACTTTTACCATACTTTGCATTAGGATGTTTTCTCTGAATCAATTTTCACCCTGTTTTATTTTCGCCTCTTTTCCCTCATTGGGGGCAAATTAAAAACAGAGAAAATTCAAAGAAGATACAAATATCTTTTAAACACAACTGTGTCTGGGTGAATTTAAAACGGGGCAAAATCATTTGCAAGTGTGAAAAGGCAAAAATAATATTGGGGTGAAAATAACCCTGTATACAGTATTCAAAACCAGAGATTTAATTACCCTTAATCAAACTTGAACTAGGTATCTATCTATTCTTCTATGCATAAAATATATCAACAGAAATTCTGAAAAACAACCCAGTCACAATCTAGAGCTCTCTTTATGGAACTTAGTCAAATAAGTTGCAAAGAACAATGTATGCAAACATATGATTATAACAGACTTGTCGAAATCCCTCGGTCCTGTCGGCAAGGCCGATAAAAAATTGTCTGGACCGATAACTCTCAAGAAAATGTCGGTCCAAATGACCGTTTGAAAAAATCGAGAGTGAAGCAAAGTTTAAAAAGATCGGGATCGTGGTGTTCAGGTGAAGGTCACAAAAACAGCAGAAATGGCCGTGTGGTGATGATGGTCGATTAAATTTGTTACAGCAAATACATTAAAACGTGCCATTTATGTGTCTGATTAAAGACTCTCTATTCTAAGAAAAGAAACTTGTGAGATTGAAGGCTGTTGATTATAATAAAGAGCATTTTAGTGCAGTTATTTATTTTCCTTTCTCAGCGTCAAAATAAAGTAAATGTATCTGGTCTGACAAAACTTTGTCCGGTCCAACAAAACATTTGACTTTGTCAGACCAAATGTCTGTCAGTGATTTCAAAATTTCGACAAGTCTGTTATAAATAAGAGATTTCTCAACTCAAAACACATTTAAAGGAAAAAAAATTGCTTGTAAGACAAATTCAGATTTTAAAACTAGAAATATGTCCATAGGACATGAATGCCCCACCGAGGGCATATCAGTAATGCAATATTTTAACACAAATTGAGAAAAGTGAGGTCAAGGTCAAAGGAAAGGTCAAGGTGAAAAAATATAGCTGCAGTTGAATAGCTTACATCAGTATGTATCAGCATATGAAGTTTGACACTAATTTAAGAAAAGTGAGGTCAAGGTCAAAGGAAAGGTCAAGGTCAAAAATTGTTGATGCAGTTGAAAAGGTTAGATCAGTATGTATCAGCATATGAAGTTTGAAAAAAAATATTATGAATGATTTCTTTAAAACTGAGCTAAACACTTTTTAAAAAAAAAAGTGAGGTCAAGGTCAAAGGAAAGGTCAAGGTCAAAAAGTATTGATGCAGTTGAATAGCTCTCATCAGTATGTATCAGCATATGAAGTTTGACACTAATTTAAGAGTGAGATCAAGGTCAAAGGAAAGGTCAAGGTCAAAACGTGTTGATGCAGTTGAATAGTTCTCATTATGTATCAGAATTTGATGTTTGATAACACTATCTTGAATGGTATCTTTAAAACTGAGCTAAACACTAATTTAAGAAAAGTGAGGTCAAGGTCAAAAGAAAAGTCAAGGTCAAAAAATGTTGATGCAGTTGAATAGCTTACATCAGTATGTATCAGCATTTGAAGTTTGATAACACTATCTTGAATGGTTTCTTTAAAACTGAGCTAAACACTAATTTAAGAAAACGAGGTCAAGGTCAAAAGAAAGGTCAAGGTCAAAAAAAGTTGATGCAGTTGCATAGCTCTCATCAATATCTATCAGCATATGAAGTTTGATAAAAATATCTATGATAGTTTCTTTGAAACTGAGCTTTGAACAGAGCTAAACGCAAAGTGTGACGGAAGGACAGACAGAAGGACGGAAGGACAGAAGGACGGAAGACGGACATGACAAACACTATATGCCCCGGCCATATTCATGGCGGGGCATAAAAATATTGTACATTGTGTCAGCAGAAAAGGATTTACAGTGTATGTTAAAATTTATTTACAAAGGAATTTCCTTGAAAACATGAACATTACAGTGTAGATACTAGTAGTTGACTTTCCAATGGTTGGACCCTTAGATATAGTCAAAAACTAATAATAAGGCGGCTTATTTGATAAAATTATTAAATGACTAAAGACAAAAGATGAGGTAAGATCAAACCATACCTTTAAGAAAGCCCACGCTATTCTGTACCAGCCTCCCTCTCGCTTTAGGTTGGAAAACTGTTTACTGGCAGTGTTCATGCTCACAAAATCAAGCACCTAATAATAACATAATTGAAATAAACATAAACTTAAGAACTCCCTGGAATATCTTCCTCTGATTATGAATCAACTTGATATTCAAACTACAGTCAACCTGTATTAAGCAGTCACTTGCGGGAACCATCAAAAGTGACCTTTATAGACAGGTGACCTTTGAATAGATGTTCATCTTTTTCAAGAAAAATTCTTTTCCAATTTATGTTAGTTCTGTGTTTTACAATACTACATCATAGAATATTAAAGAAAGATGTGTATTGGACAACAATGGTCTCACTATGATTTTTTATGAATTTTAAATAGTCTCAAGATTAAGTCAAAATAATTTGAACATAGTGTTGGAAAAGTTCTTGTATCCACCTGCATTCAATGGCAATCACAAAGGTCAAAGGGGAATCAATAAGTTTCACCTTTGTACAAATATAAAATTAAATCCTGAATCACCTTGATATTATGGCAATGAGAGAAATACAAAACAAGCACAAATTTCAACCAAGAAGTCTAAAACTTAAACCTCTGGCTTGTGTGAGTTCAGAAAGTCAATCTAAATAAAATTAAATGTTTATCTTCTTGAGATGCAGTAGCAGATTTGGAATATTTAACTTTAATTAGATTGTACAGAAAAGTTTATCTAAAGCACATTAACAAAAACCTAAAGCAGAAAAGATGGCATTTATAAAATTAACAGGTTCATATTATTAAATTTGCAATTGGATTCATTGATTCACCAAATTATTTTCAAATACACACTTCCTTGTCCAGGAAAAGAAGGAAAAATTTACCTCAAAGAAGACAATGACTTTAAGATCTGTCTCTATAAAGTAGTTGAAATTCTCATTAAACAGGAGTAGCTCTTCCCAGACAGGAATCACTGACCTTCAAACAAAAAACAAAGATGAGTACTATTCAATACTGACTGTCCCTTGTAAGTATACACAGTAATCTGTCGATAAGTACTTACTTTCTCTCTTTAAAATCAAACGGTTGGGTCATAATTGGAAGGATTTTGTCGACTTGTTCGTTCTCTGTCTCAAAATATGCAGTCACCGCTCGGTCCCTACAACAGGAAAAGAAATTATTACATGCAGTAATAAATATTATAAATTATGACAAAATACATGTATATGTACTTAGTCTAGTTTTTTGATCATCTACACATATACATGTGCATGTTTTTAACTTTATGCAAAAGCACAGCAAATATTTAACTACAAATTATAAAGGGAAAATATTCAGTAATTAATGGCCAAATTTTTTTTTTTTTAAATACACCAGAGAAATCTGGGGATTCTGATCCATACTTGTGTTGTTTTTGGAGGTAGGTTCCTGTCTCTTCATCCACAATGTGGACTCTGACCACTGGGTGGAGAATGTGGAAGTCGTTCTTTAGTTTATCCGTCCGGTGGATCGTCACCGACAAAACCTCACCCTCGTCTTCCACCTTCATCCTCTCCTCGCGTTTCCTCTCCAACTCTGCCTCATCCACTAAAAAATTTTATCAACTTTTATTTCTAATATTTTTTTTTTTAATCAATGAAAACTGTTACTATTACTGTTCATTAAGGATCCTCTCTACACCAGTGCAAAATGTTTTTTGGACACTGAGAAAATTATACTGTATACATGTGTAAATATTAAGCTTATCTATTGAGTTTTCAATATATGATATGTGGCATTTACCCCCAGGAAAAATGTTAAAAGACTGCAAAGTTTCAATGAACAGAAATCACTGTTGTTTACTTCAGTGGATAAAATATATGCAAATGAAGTTTCCAGTTAATTTATCTTAGCCTTTTAAAATGTTCAGAATGCTTGAATTGATCACAGATTGAGTAATACACTGAAGATTTCAATTTATTTGAATTCAGATCTAAGGGCAGATCACTCTAACTGCAGAAAAATACCACAGAATCAGAACTCTTTAGTGTGCAGTGTACAGAGGGTTCTTAATTCATCACAGACACAGAAATCAAGCTGGAAATACAGACCTGGCTCCTTTTTCTTCTTTTTGTCTTTTTTCTTGGCTGGCTTTTTGACATCTGTTTCTTCATCTGGTGATAAATCCTCCTGAAATTCATTGCAAAAAGAGACTGATAAATTATTTTCTGAATGGACTTGTCCTAAAATGTTCAGCACAGATAAAATTTATAACAATTCTTACTGGGGCATTGATAAACTACTGTAAGGTCTGTATGCATATTATATTTCGAATAAGTTTTTCAAATTTATTCCAATGAAAAATATTCAAGGTATACATATCATTATTGCCAAACCTCAGTAAAATAAGAATTTAAAGTTGTTTTTCCCATACTACAACCCAGAACTGAATTTACATATTGAGACTATCTCTGGAAATTAGATCTAAACAGTATTCTTGCAGACAGTACATAATTCATAGTATCACACTATATGTACTCTGATTCCAGAAAAATCTTTTCACCTTTTTTTCTCCTATGAGTACATAAAATAATAAACATTTCATACCTATAGAGGATTATATACCAGATACACACCTCTCCCTCTTCTTGATCCTCCCCTTCCTCTTTCTCTTCCTCATCCTCCTCTCCCTTCTTCTTTTTCTTCTTCTTCTTCTGTTTGGCCTCAGCCTTTTCCTCTGTCTGCTCCTCACCTTTTTCCTCAGTCTTGGTGTCTTTCTTTTTCCTCTTCTTTTTCCCTGCTGTATCAGATACCACAGACTCCTCAGACGGCGACATCGGTCTCTCTTCCTCAGACTCTTTCCCCTTTTTCTTCTTGCCTTTACTTTTTGTTGGTGTGGGGGGTACAGATTCTTCAGAAGGTGATAAAGGTCTGGTGTCCTCATCTTCTGTCTCTTCTCCTTTCTTCTTCTTCTTCTTCCCTTTCTTGGGAGCAGTCACTGACTCCTCTGATGGAGACAAAGGACGTTCTTCTTCACTAGCTTCCACATCTTTCATCTTCTTCTTCTTCTTCTCTGACCTTGGAGGAGATGTTGGCTCTGATAATGGCTGCTCATCTTCACTTTTAGCTGCAGGCTTCTTTTTCTTCTTCTTCCCTGTTTCTGCTGGTTCACTCTCAGCTGGGGATAAAGGTCTCTCATCTTCGGAGACAGCTTCTTTCTTTTTCTTCCTGGCTGCCTTTGTTGGAGTTTCTGTCGTGGTCTCACCATCCGGTGGCTTTTTCTTCTTTTTCGGTGTTGTGGCTAGCTCATCTATTGTCATAGTTTTGTCTTCAATCAGTGTGTCACTGTAAAAGATTGGGTTTAGAGATACATGTACGTTTGAATATATGAAACAGAAGAGCACATAGCATTGGAATAAATTTATTAGAAAATAAAAATGGATGATTACGTGTCAATTTTCTCAGTGGGCTTTTTCTTTTTCTTCTTCTTGGTATTATCAACTTTCTCCTCATCATTTACAAAAGCTGAATTGTCCTTTGCTGTAATTTATCAAAAATATACACAGGTATACATGTCAATAATTCTTTTTAAATAGTAATTACTAGTTTATATGAAAACTTGCATTATGAGTTGAAACACTGTCCAAATACAAACTGACATTCCTTAATTAGGTAACTAAAGGTACATGTACAAAAAATTTTACTTCAGTGGCTTTTAACATATTCATGTACATGTACAGTATATCAACAAATACCCCAAAAATATCATAAAATATCTAGAAAAATAATAATAAAAAAAGTAGAAGCTAGAAGTATTCATTATCCCTCTGATAAAGGTTGGTTTTTCTCTAACACTGACCTTGTTCCTGCAGCTTCTGTCGTCGTTTGTTACTTTTTTCATTTTTTGGACTGTTGTCGGGGTCGTAGGTATTAGCTTTAATGGCCGCGTCCTCTTCCTTCTGTAAACCCTCTCCTTTCCTCAGAGATTCCAGCTACAAAGTACGAATCATTCATCTAAAATCTTTTTTTTCAGATTTTTTTGGTTTTATATACAAAGTTTGTAAGGTTTAAAAAACAAATACAAATAAATATATACCTGTACAGTGCGGTCTCGTTATTACGATGTTCATTTTGTCACGGGAAAATATCGTAATACCGAGGGCAACGTAATAAAAGTTCCCAATAAAATCCATTAAAACATCGTTTTGAAAGTTTGTTATTTTTGTGGAAGATGTATTTTTGCCCTTTTGTTCCCTTCTTCTGTTCTAATTCCTAATCAAAACGCTAATACATATATAATTTATTAACAACTTATCTTGAATAGATATCTTCATAGTGATATTTCTTCTATTTCTTTCATTTTAAAAGAAATGCGTATATTTCTTATAAAAACTTCGGCGATCTATCGGATCTTCATTTATCTACCGCCATTTCCTTACTTTTACTTTCATTTCTGACTCTGTAGATAATGCGTTCATAAAAAATTCAACAAGCCGTCTTTGTATTCAATTTATAGTCGTTTACTACATAACAACAACAATTTTTAGTGAGCTTTTGGGTGTTCAATGAGCTTAGAGCAGCAGTGAACAACTGATGAAAGAGTTTGACTGGCATATTTAAGGACGGAATTTGACAATGTACAAGCTATATGTCAAAATAAATTTAATTTTTTAAATTACTGAACAGAGTTCAATTAGCAGTTCAGCAATTATCGATTTGTATTTCTGCTGACACCTGTGAGGTAGTCCAAGCCACAATCAAAGCTGTTAAAACGTAAGTGAAGTTCAAATTTGGCCAAAATTATGTTTGATACCCAAGCTGTCCATTACCGCAATTTAATTGCAAACGAAATTACACGTATTAAACATACATGCACAAGATTAAATGTAACCTTTTATTTAATAAATTAATTTTATTTATTAACCAAAGTATAAAAGATAAAATAAACTTTACAGACATACATAAACTTGAGAATACGTTTATAAATAAACAGTTTAAATTTAATTGTTTAACAATGGCTTTGACACGATGTCTCCAGTTCTGCTGACCTCGCTAGAAGAGTCAAGGTGGGTGCAGTCAAGCGTCACTAATCACCTAACGGCCCTGCAAGTTAACATTCTGTCAGAGCACAGGTGTTTCAATGTTTATTTAGCGTCTCCTTAAGTCTCTACCGTCGATCAACACTGAATAAACACGGAGTGAAAAAAAATTTTGGACAGAATTTTTACATCGTAATACCGAGTCCCGGCATTCTAGGACATCGTAATAAACGGTTCTATTTTGTATAGATTTGTTAAGAAATGGTTTTGTGCTTTGAATTTACAACGTAATAAGCGTTCTATCTTATAAAACCGTCACCGTAATAACGAGTCCGCACTGTATAAATTTTACATTGCACATTTTTCTTCAAAGTTAACATGATCAACTGTACAGATCTAAGTAGTTTTACACAATTTTTAATGATTCCTATTAACATACCACAGCCTCTGTCTCTGCCTTCTTCTTTTTCTTCTTTTTGGCTCCACTGAAATTTATTTAAATGTTTAACTTGCTTTTAAATGCCATTTAATTGTTCTTTATACAAGTGTTTCTGCTCCCACTGATAGAGGAATATTACTTTATAAAATACATTATCCATGATGATTCTAAAAATAGTATATATCTGTAAATTTTGATTCAACCATATTGAAAAAGTCAGACCATTTCCCTGTAAGGATTAGGGGATAGGGCATAATAGACCATTTAGCACAAGAAATAATTTTACAATGGGTCGATAATAATTATTACAAGAATTTTCTCCATTATCAATACAAGGTCAAGGCAAATTTTAAAAAAATGTCTACCTCCATGAAACAGATATTTTTTTTATATTCATTCTGAAATCTTCAGAAATGATCTTACTCTGTGGCCTGATCCACTGCCTGCTGAAGAAGCTGGTCAAACTTAGAACTGTTGCTCTTCATATCCGCTGAAAACAAACAAAAAAAGAGATTCAGTCTTAATAACATGTATTGATCATGTTGATAACAACATAATTTGTTTGTGTTTTTGTAAGTTAATGAATTTTATTTCCATCAGCATCAAATAATTGTAAAACTACATACATTTATCCTTGCAAGAATATTATATTTTTTATCAATACATATAATTCTAAATTTTGTTTCTTTAACAAATACAGTTCAAACATCATTATCTCAAATTTGATGAGACAGGAAATATACTTTCCGATTTCTGTGTATTCAAGACTTTGGGGTTAACCTATCGATTTTCAAGGTTCTGAAGTTTTTACAGTGTATAACCATTTGGAAATGTAAATGACAAGGAGTATGCCATCACTTATTTATCAAAAGGAAGTTGCTTGCAAAATTAAATGCACATGCATCTGTTCACATTAAAGATGGAACAGTAAGTAAATAATTTATACATAATTAGGGGGTAATCATCTGTTTTTTTATACAATATTGAGGATTGATACTTGATTGTGAATCTTTATTTTTGACTATTAGTATTTTTATTATCATATTTATTGTCTTTGTCTTGACCTATCATACAAAAAGAGGGTATGTATAGGCTTTGCCTGTTTCCCCATCCTTACTGATTTATTAAATAAAATATTGTTCACAAGTGAATCCAATGCATACTGTTTTCAGCCTCTAAGCTTTATGTGTCAGTACATGTACATTGCAGAGTTTCCAAACCACAAAACCAACAGAAAATCTAAAAGTCCAATAAAATTTGCTATATTACTGGTCCACATGACTGATTACCGGTATTATCTGCCTTAACCATATGCATCTGGCAGTTTTTGTTGAACCGGAAAAGTTTGTCTTTTCTTCATAATTTCAAAACACTATAGTGAGTACCCTTTTCAAAATTTTCTACTAAGTGTTTATTGTACTCTGATCTATGTATGTCTAACAATGGGTGTTGTACTGATCTGCAGAAACATTTAAACACTTGATGTAAACTACAACATGACCAGTCCCAACCAGCAGCTATTTTTTTTAATTACATCATGAATTATATTAGAATTTATTTAGACTGATAGACTTGCTTCAAACTGGTAATATTTGGTTTTCTGAAACTCTGCATTGTCATGACAATAACAAATATGTGTGTAGCAGGATGGAATTTGTTTCGAGTATACTGGAGAACCTCATACTAAGAACTACAAAGAAACTCTGCAACTAGCCAGACACATAAATATTAAACCCTATTATACAATATACATTAACATCTAAATTACCAAGTGGAATTTCATCTTCCTGTTTGGCCTTCCCAGACTTTGGTCTGGTCTTTTTATTCTTTTTTGCTTTGTCTTTTGTTGCAACTACAGATGAAAAAAATTGAAATATACATTAAAAATACACCAAAGACAGACTATCACAAACTCTTAAATAATTAATACAGTCGTACAATGAGATTCTCCATTTTAGGTAGTAAATAAGACTTCCTGTTTTAAAAATTGACTACAAAAATGAAGCAAGGTTTGAAAATAATTTGCCACTTAGTTAGAATAATCTAACTGTGTCTCGGGACAAGCCCTCACCACAGTTAGAATACGTCCCATATACTTGCAATGTAGCACATCGGAGTGGATTCACTCCGAAATGATTTTGAAGAATACAAAAGGAGTCGCACTGAAAATAACTACCAAATTAATCATAACAAACCTTTTTGAGATGGTATATGTCTTTTAACCTAAAAAATAATCCATATAAATACGAAAATTCAACTCATTTTCTCAACGTTTTTTCCTCGCTTCAAATTTAACGCCATATTGACATTCAAAACTTTCTGGATTGTTCATAGAAAATGCACAGAGTACGAGTTATCGCCCGTGTTTATTTTGCAACATTGCCAATACACAGAACGAATTCTATTGTTAAACCGGGTCTGTAGGACAATATCATTTTAACGATAGAATGTTCTATCTATTTGCCACTAGAAAGTTAGTTCATTGTTAATCTTATGAATAGCATTTGTTGAAAAGTTAAAGCAAATATTTGGAAGAACTTTTTTTAAGCAAAAGAAATAAGTACCGCGATATATGGAGATATCAGATTCAGTATACATGAATTATAGCACATATCATGAATTTGGCAAACAAATTCCATATTAAAGACAATAAAAATAACTGACTAGGTTTGAAATCAAAAACAAAAGTTTATAAATGCAATTAAAGGGTAAACATCATCAAAAAAGACTTTTATTCATAGATGTTGATAGAACCAGGGCTCGAGCTGTGATTCGCCATTTGCGCCAATTGCGAATTTTTTCCAAAAGTGGCAAAAAGAAATTCAAAAGTGGCGAAAATGGATATTTTTTTTTTAGATATACCATACAAAAGTGTGTGTACTCCTGGCTATCTCCTTTGTTTATTCAATGTATACAGATTATCCCCTTTATTTATTTAATGCAAGCAAACGTGTGAATTCAGGGTGTGAAAACTCCATGAAACTTACAAAACAATATGCAGGTAGGAAATCACGTCTCGCTTGAACGCACACAGCTGACTAGGTTAATTTAGCCTGGAGCAGTGAGGGGATACAAAATTACTTGAAATAATATAAGATGGATTAAACAAGGAAAGACAAAGTGTTTTTGGGAGATGAAGTTAGTTAATAAAAAAAATTTTATCAATAAAATCTGGATCTATATAGATTGTTTTTTAAAACCGAAAGTAGGAAAACATGACGAAAATTGCAGAGCATGGCTGCTAATTTTACCTGATTAAAGACTTAAAAGTCAAAATAGTGTGTTCATTATACCATAAACTGACAAAGAGTGAAAGATACTGGCTTGGAAACAATACAATACTTTTGTCAAATGCGCTGAATTATTTTCAGTTATATGAATTTACATGCATACACCAAGTGTCCAAACTGTTGAAGTAAGCCAAGTTTTAAACCTGATTTTCATTACCTCTTTTCACACTAAATTGTTGATATGATTAAAATTTTCAATTACATTATTTTTTTTCAATTTAAAAAAATGTCATATATCTTACTAAGTCTGTAACCCCCCCTCCCAGGGCTAAAAAAATGTTATGAACAAGAGGTTGTATGTTCGTTCGCCCTAAAACTTGTTCGCCCTTGACGCCGTTCGCCCTAATTCCCGTTCGCCCAGAGTCCGATCGCCCTAAATCTTGTTCGCACAGGGTCCGTTCGCCTTATTTATATTGCAGAAAGTTGAATAATGAACCAATGGATTTTTTAAATAAATTATATGTACATTGGTACATAAATTGCACACGGGAGACAACAGAAGTATGCATGTGTATCAAAGACCCGGCAGACCAACAGAAATTAACGTCTCAGTCCTTTAATTGTTTTCAAAACATAACGCAGATTGTATGATCCCCTAAATTACAGTGACATTATTAAGTATAATTAAAACAGTTAAGCATGTAACAGTGTAAAGAGCATAAATATCAAATTTGAATTATTTGATTAAGATTACGGTAAATAAAAAAAATTCTGTAGCAACATTTGAAAAAAAAAAACACCAAGTCATAAAATATTGAATAAAATTAATGATAAATGTTGATATTTACTATATACTATATAGGGCGAACAAGAATTATGGCGAACGGACCCTGCGCGAACGGACTCATGCGAACAGGTAGATAGGGCGAACGAACCTGATACCTGAACAAGAGGGCATCTACTTTCAAGAGTTGGCTAACATCAGTATCAAATTAAATGTATAAATGTAGAAATAATTCCTAATATATTAGTTTTGTCAGTGGATACAACGTTAAATTTTACAATTTTAAAACAATGCCTGTGATATAAACAAATTGAAATAGTGCTATTAGTGGAGTGTTTAGCATATATACACTTGTCGAGACGAGATGTAAGAATGCGATTCCTTTCATCGCGAAAAGTGGCGAAAAATATTTTCGCTCCAGTGGGAGCTCTGGATAGAACGCAGCAAATTTTATATATATACAAACACGTTTGATCTTGTTTTCGACACCAAACAGACCAAATTACTCGTCAATTCCATAAAATATTCTAAAATCAAAGATCATATGGTTGATATCCATATTTCTAAAGAAATATTTCAACAATGCATCCGAGATCTACGAAAAGATAGAGCTGCAAATGTACAATAAATATTGAAGTCAACAAATGTTCCTACCGTCGTCGGCCATCTTTGTTTACATTCTACTCCGCACCGAAAGGGTATTTAAATTTCATTTGCTGATAATTTTTCCGGATCGATGTAAAAATAGTTCCATGCTGGAGACAAATTAAAATATTCAAAAGTTAGTTTAACAACTGTTAAAAGTGGTATTATGCAAAATTTTGTTTATTTTTAACGGCGATTGAGTTAGAAATACGGTAAATGTATGTCAAAAATGAATTTCTAAATAAGATGTTCAATCAACTTCTTAATTTCCCTAGTTTGCGCTTTACAAAATAATAATACTTCCATATAAATTATATGTATAATAAAGTTTTTGTTAAAAAATATTTTTACTTAAGCTCGAAATACACAAGCAATAAAGAGAATAATTAGAATAATACGGGGACCGTAATGGTGGAGTTGCGAATCACAGAGATAGCATTCATACAACCACAGATGCATGGGGACGAGATACCCTAAGGATTCTTCGACTTTTTAAAAATAAAATATTTTTTTTCTTTGACATATTTACAAAGTATTACAAATGAAAAATCCACAATATTATCGAAAACTAATTATTATAAATATTATAACAATTCACACTCACTGATATATGGAATTCCATATACGACAGTCAACTGCTTACTGCCAACCTCTACTGGTTATAGATGATCTTGCGTGTTTTGTTATCTTTAATATCTTTTATGCGCATGCTTGAATATATAAACCCTATTATTGGAAGGATATTACAATAATTACAAAAAATTGGCTGATCCAGGAACTTTTAACAATAGCTTTTTTGACGCGGGAGAGATTAAAGGTTTATAACATCAAAAAACATTTTGGGGGGGGGGGGGGGGGGGCAAACTCTTAGTAGGATCTTGGGTTCATTCATTTATTTCCTCTATTACAGAGATTTTTTAGCATGACATCTATATATTTAATAAATTATAAATTAATCGAAATGTAAGGAATAAAAAGAATACATATTGTAAGTAGGGTCATTCTACACATAGATGCCCAAATAGTGTCCCGCGTGTTTATCAAGATTTTGCATGAAATTGATATAATTTTGAACATCGCTTTCTGCATCAAGGGAAAGATGTAATGTATTTATGCTTGATATTAGTTATGAAAATTTTTCAAAACAGCATATTCATTTAACAAAAAAAAATAAAATTATCAAGGATGGCAAAAAACACGATGTCCCAAATCTTGGTTTTACGCACATGTTGATTAAATAGTATTAATTAACTGTCCTTAAGTTCTTTTTTAAAAACTTATTAGCAATTGATAAACATACTGATTCATGCATTTAATGCAAATCCCAATTTCTACATTTGATTTTAGAAAAAAAATCCATGTAAAAGTTGTCCCAATTTTTTATGTCATTACCGTAACGTAATTTCAATTTTCCCTGTTTCTGAAAGACAAAGGCGCGTTTTTTATGAATATCACGTAACTGTATATACCCGGGAAAATTTTTGCAGATGATGCAGGGTGGACGCTAATTGGCAAGCGATGTAAGTAGCTAAAACTTAGTCCTACCAATTTAAAACTTTAATAGTATATTTATTGTGTGTCATTACCGAATGCAAAAAAAAAAAAATACAAATATATTAACCTGAATTGAAAAGTTGATTTAGTCGGCGATTTTGTGTATTTCTCTAACGACTCAGACCCTATCAGCAGCCATGATGATACGAATGGCCCTGTAGATCATTAAAAAAAATGAAATTTGTCATTACCATAACGGGTCATTACCGTGACACTTTTTGTGAAACATTATCGTTACGGTAATGACAATATGTGACGGTAGTGATATTTTAATTTATCTATGTAATTATATCTATCATGTAATAAGGTAATTCACAAATATACTGAATAACTTAGTGCTATTCATCAATTTATTATATTATCTACAGTAAAGACTACCAAATAAAATATCATATACTGAATATATATAAATAAAAGTATAATATCTATTTAGATTATAAAACATTTTATTTCAGGCTAAACTTGAAGAAGAAACTATTAAAAAAGATTTAATAAGAACTGAAAAATTAAACAGTTTTATCAGAGAAAACACTGGTTGGACTTTTAAGTAATCGCCCCAGCGATCAACATCTCCATATTTGGGCAGGTCTTGTGGCTGATGCTTTTGATAAGTGGGTACATACCAAGGAGCTTCTAATTTTACAAAACAAAGTAGCAAAGCACCCTTACTTAAATGGCACTGTCGGCAAAAGAGAGAGCGCGAAGATGAAGAGAGCGACAGAAGAACGATCCCGAAAAGCATCAGAAATACTTGCAGGCAGAAAAAGAAAAGATATATATCAAGAAAAAACAGCGGAAAATTGAAAAATGTGTCACAGATGACTGAGAGACAGAAACGAGCAGTGCGTAAAAGATGGAGAACAAATCAAAAACAGAAGAGAAAAATGGACAAATATATTCTAGATGTGTTAACAACAAACACTCCTCCAGATTCCCCAGACGACAGAGCATCAGTTGCTTTTCCCATGGACTCGCGGAAGTCTTCTGGAAGGAAAAAAGTCAGAAAAGACCGTGCAAAGGCTTACAGGGAAATAAAGAAATTAAAAGATAAACTGCAGAAGAAAGAAAAGGATATTGAAAAATACAGAAAACGTTTGCTCAGAGAAAAGGCAAAATACGCTAGAAATGCAACAGACTCACCGAGAACAAGAACTAAAAAATTACTCAGAGGCCAAAGTGTTTCAAAAGAAGTAAAGCGTATGCTGAACTTTCATCATGCAATCATAAAAGGATTGAGGGAAAAGTATAAACATGCAAGGAAAAGAAAAACCCAAAAGACAATTGTCAACATTTATTTATCAATTTCTATCTTGTCACGGAGGCAGAGGTGGAGGCAATTCAGAAGTATCTCCCATTGAACCTAGACACGGTGCCACAGACGATGAAACTTCACCAGGTATTCTTGTTCGAAATTTTCTATAATTTGTACAGTAAGTATATCAGTGCAAATTTCATAATCTCGTTTTATTTGTAGGTGTTCACAAATAGAAGACACGCCGTAGAAGTTCGTGTCCTGAGTTGCTTTTGCAGAAAACCAGGCATGTGCAATTGCTTTGCACCCACTTCATTCACCTTCACTTATGAAGCTTAGACAACCTCTCCGACTACATCAACTGAAAATTCAGTAGACACTTTCCAAAAGTCCATAGATAGCCAGTTAGTGGGAAAATATGATGATGTTCCATATCCTGGTATAGTACAAAACGTTGACGATGATGTTGAAGTACAAGTAATGCACGAAATCGGAAATAATCGATACTTTTGGTCGATGATACCAGATATATTGTGGTACGAACATTCACAACTTCTTTGCGAAATAAGTGAACCAACAAAGGTTGGTTCTAGGCATTATCAGCTTTTAAAGTCTGATTGGGCTAAAGTGGTTAAAGTGATTGATGTGTAAAAAATGTTAAACTGACAAAATTACGAGATTTTATTCATATTCTGTTCAATCTGCAAGTTTTGAAATTGCTTTGTATTTCATGTTTTTTAAATAAAACTTTGTTCTTGTGTGTATGATTATCAAGTGTCTCTTGTAAATGGTGTTAATCAATGTCCGTTAATACGTATTGTATATACGGTCATTACCGTAACGCCTTGTCATTACCGTTGGTCAAAGTCATTACCATAACACACACTAAAAATTGTAATATATTTTGAAATAATAGACACAAACAACTTTTTTCTTATTCTTGGAATTATTAAGACTTCTTTATGTATGACCAAGACGTTATGGTAAAACTATGGTGTCAATCAGACCAAAAAAGAACAAAGACATAATGCACAAACTTAAGAATTTGATATAACATAGTGTTATTTTTGCATACCATTAAAAATAATTATATGTCTCTCAATTTTCTTGATGTTTATAATTGCTTCCGCTTCATTTTATTAATGATATATAAAATACTTGTTGAAATAGATCATTTGAATGATTAATATGAGACTTGATTCGTGTCACGGTAATGACATACATCAACGAGTAATACATTTTAAAAATGTCAATTGATTGAATGTTATAACCAAGAACTTCACTGCTGATAGTATTAACTCATTGTAGTGTTCCTAAAAATAGTAGAAACATCGAAATTATCCATATTTATATATTTTTTAAAATCAAATATTCAAGATATTGTTTGGGCATCTCTGTGTAGAATGACCCAGTAATGAAAGAAAAACAAAATCAAAAAGAGAAGAAATACACGGGAGGGGGGGGGGGGGCTCAACCCGACAGAAATCTCTTGACAAGTAATAAAAAGGTCACAGGTGTCATTATTGAGGGTGCACTACTGTATAGTATATGTTGGTTATTTACTGGGGACTACCCCCACCACTCCTTGTAACAAGACCTTTCTTTGCGTACCAGCATTTTTGACCTCTTGGCCTTGACCTTGCAGCTTGAATTGCAGTTGAGAATCTAACCTTGGCCGTGAGCAGCTATACGGATGCATCATTGTTTCCCAAACACATCTTGTTTTCTATATACTAGTAATTCTGCAGCGTTAATTTTTCAGAGAAAATACATGTATAGAAACAAAAAAAAAATAATTTTTATGTAAAGAAAGACAGCAGTTCGTAGAAAAATCATGTTTCACTCTTCCAAACTGATCATTATATTGTGTGAGTGCTATATATAGAATTTGATATATAGGTAACGCAGCGTCTTCAGAGAATGAACATGGTGAAGAAAATAAAAAGTGATCTCAAAAAACCTACAAACAATGCAAATCTGTGAATAGGCATAAACAATGCAAATCTGTGAACAGGCATAAAACACGTACCCATGGAAAGAAGATGGGCGAACAAGGCGAGCGAAATGCCAACATGTAAGGTACGACAAATATGAAGGTGAAAAAATAAATCTTAATAACAAAATTTTCTTTGATATTTCATCTAACATTAAAGTATACTTTATGTAAAATCTCCAGAATTTGCACAAATCTCACAAAGATTGAAATTGTCATGCTGGATCACATAAGCTTTGTTGTTTGACTTATAATGACATGGACACGGATTTATCCAAAAAAAAAAACAAAACAAAGGAGTTATCTCTCCTTTTACACTTAAAATGCTAAGGTACCTGAACAAAACTTGTACCGTGATCATTTCCATTAATTTATTTTGGATGTCACGAGTAATTAATTGTATCAATGATACACATTTAAAAATAAATACCATTACAGTCACCGTGTTCGAATCAATACGATGTAAGACCAGAGACATACATGTATGATATTCATCCGCATTGTTGTGGCGAAATCCATCTCGCTTGGTGTGCGGAAGGAGGCAAAGTTCAAGGTAAGATTACAGGTGAGCATACAATGTAGAATTTCAGGTGGATAAAATTACTGTGAAAATTCGGGAACCCTTTAGCTTGGTATAGTACTCAGGTCTCTGGTGAATAAAATACACAGTATAATATACACAATAAACGGGAAGGAATATCGTTGTGGCCTTGCTGGGAAGGAGTCAGTAAAACTATAGGTTTCAGATCCATGGTGTTCACTATGAATAGGGATCTGCATAATGCAAACTTAATTTTGATTATGTTGTAATCCTCAAGGAATTTTACTTCTTTTATATTCCGTCTGTAGTTCATCAGATCCAAAGAAGTTTTTTTTTAAATAAGAAGGGGGGAGGTAAAAAAACAACTATCTTTACCAGAGGGTAAAGCCTGGATTGTCAAAACCATTGAATTAGGAGAGGCGTTGTTACTAATCTGGAAATATTATAATATTCTAAAGGTTATGGATAAAGTTCTATTCTTTCCTATAAATATTAACATAAATAACTCTGGCTTGTTTTAAAAAATGTTTGTCAATTGCACACATCTCTGACTTCGATAACAATATCATTACAACCTTGATGATAAGAAAAATCGCAATTTAATTGGTGTATCCTACAACCAGAGTGGGTGGATTGTACATGTATGTTGGGAAGCTGAAAAGATGTATCCACGTCGCTGGAATAGAACAGGTTTTTTTCCTGCTTCCAATACAAGTATCTGATTGGATATAAAATCGGTATAAAGTAAACAGTAATTAAAGTCGATAGAATTATTTCAAAAAAAGAAAATCTTTAGGAAAGGCCTCAATTGTAGTAAAAGTACGGCGCTTTATGTGGTTTACTTAATTGATTAGGGACCCTCTATACAATGGGCTGCATTTCATTTCCGGAAATTTTCAAAATATTCATCTTTTCATTTCCGACATTTTATAGTTTTCAATTCCGACATTTAATAAAGTTTTCATCTCCGACTTTTATCATAAAGTACTTTTCCGGCAACGAAAACACTATTTATGACTTTCCTTATAAAATATTTTAAAAGAAAAAAACATTCGAAATCTATCATAAATTCGGTGCAGTCACCGACATATAATTCAGGGACATTGAAGTTGGTGAACAAAAAATGCATGCTCATTTTACCCATGCAGAACTTTTTATTAGACTTGGTGCAGCATTTATATACGGTGTATGTAAAATATCTTTATTCGGAATAAGTGTAAAATTAATATCTTGTTAAAATTTTATTCCCATCTACATTTGTAAACATTAAATTGCTGGAAAGGTACCCTAGAAATATCCGAAAATGTATTTAAAAAAAAAAAGATAGGAAATGAAAATAAAAAATGTCGAAAATGAAAATAAAAATTGTCGGAAATGCAATGCAAAGTTCCGGAAATGAAATGCAGCGATACAATAATGAAAATTGTTTCTTGGACATTGGAAATTTTATGTCATATCACGGTGTAAATTTGAGTTTACTAGTATCTATTTCAATTTTAGACCCCCCCCCGGAAAAATTTCAAGGAAGACAATGAAGTATTGATGTATAGAAATCACTGGTGCTCTCTCATCCCTCTGTTTCACTCAAATAGGATTTTCTCTAAATGCTGTTGATTTTCCAAAAACAATGTAATCTCAAATTTAAATGCGCATAATTTAAAAATACTTTGTGGGGCAAAAATAAACAGAAATTTTCTGTTAAGGTAGTCCGATCCTCAGGTTCTGAAACTCTTCAGTTAAGGAATTGAAAATTCTCACAAAAATATCTCAGAATTCACAAAGTAATGTCTATTTACCCATTGGATTTCTTTTTATTTTATCATTCATTTTATTTTTTTTATTATTCATTTTATGATTTATCCTATTATAAGGAAAATTTCAAATATACATGTAGTTCCAGGAAACGTGGATAAAAGCACCCGCTATGCATTTTCATATTGAAAATTGATCAACAATTTTTTTGAGGACAATAACGTTTAGGTATCCAGGCATTTGCATATATATATATATATATATATATATATATATATATATATATATATATATATATATATATATATATACTAGTATATGACGGGTTTAATGAATTGCAATGATCAAAATCGCGCAAAAATACGTATACATACATTGTATAACATTTTATTGAAAATATCTGTTTTACCCTCTTTTTAATTTTTCTCCACCTTAAGATTACTTTTTTTTGTCATTTTTAAATCTCAATGTTCAAAAAGTGTCTTTCCTTTAATCTGAATTGGTTTTGTGAATTCTCTTTCCCCACACCGTTAAAAAAAGCATGTTTATCCTTTCAATACTCTGCAATGAAACAAGTCCACCCAAAACCTCTAGTGCTGGTTTTGCACAAATAAATAAACACCTTACACACTTCTCTACGATTTAATTTTCATTTCAATAGAAATCAAAACAATAGACATTACGAATCATCAGACAATGCTTGTAGAACTATACATTAATCAGCAATATGTACAATTATTTTTTTGTATAATTTACTGCAATATACAACGTATTTTCTCCTTTCCAAAGACAAAAATAAAAAAAAAAAACAGTCAGTATAACAATAACAAAATAACACTATAAAATTATATCTCATGTTTGTAACAGATAAAAAATATCATATTTGTTAACAAACAATATCGCTTGGAATGTTTTGGTCTGTCATGGCTATACGATTTTCCTGAAAGGGAAACCACTTCAATATCTGCCATTACAGTTATATATAGAATATTGCATATATATGTTGCAACGAGCTGATGAGGCAAATGATATTATGCAGGTAATGAACGAACATACTGGTCATCGCACATGTATATATAAAACGTCAAAAATGAATTACTGGTTTGGACTAGTTTTATACATCCTCACAATAGGGATCGCCACCTATTTCCGGGAAGACCACCGTTATTGCGGGAGGGAGCACTGTCATTCAGAGAGACAACAATCTCGCCCCTAACACGAGGGCACTGCATCAATTTCAGTCAAAATGATTTCATAGTCTTGACTGTCAGTGATTTTGTTCATTTCAATGATAAACGTGGACTCGTGAGAATAATGCCGTACGATGTTGTCATCCATTTTGACAATGATCCTGAAATGAATGAAAAGAACACTTAGTCACCAGACAATTCAGTTGTTTTTTTTAATTTTCAGTTATTTGAAATGTAATTTAACCTTTAATCAACATGTCACAATATTTTACTTACCCTTTTTTGGACCGTTTATATGTTATTTTAATGTTGCCTGTGGGGATTCCGTATTTTTCTTCTACCTGGTGTGTCAAATAAACAGTTGGTTAAAATAGCAAGTAAAATCTTTTTTAACTTAAAAATTACAGGTGTAAAAACAATTAAAAAGGCAAAAAATGATATGATAACTAACCGCTTGTAACAGGCCGTGCAGGGTCGGGATGCGCAACATCAGCGCAGTGAAAACAGACTCGTGGCGTTCCCTTACATATAATAGCACTGGAATAAAGCGGATAATTATAAAATTACATGTAAAAATTGTTTTTAACATAACAAGAGAAGAATAAAATCCGGATATGGTGGGTTTTTTTATTTTCACAATAATACAATACCTTTCTGATAGGACTCATAGGAGTCGCGTCGCTGTCTCTTTAATGGTGGATAGATGTCATCGAAACTATCACCCAGAGAATTCAGACTGCAATGAATTAATAAAATTTAGATGAAAACAATTAACTATTGATATTCAATGCGGAAAACTTATGAAATATATCAATCGTTAACTTTTAATTATTTATGAAACCTTACCTAGAATTTCCATCATCATCAATTCCGTTCATTGACAAACGCGATGGACTTTTCTGAAAAATTAAAGTATCAAATAAATAGCAGAAATTAATTAACAGTATTTATACATGCAATTATTATTAATAGTCAAACGGTATATCTTAAAATCAATGGATTAAAGTTGTCGTGTTTATATACCTCAGATTTCTTATTGCCGTCTTCATCTACGGATGGAGTATAATAGAAGGGGACAGACTTGGTATCCTGCATGCTGTAAAACTCGGACCTCTCACTTGGAGGGTGGTAATGGTCCTCATTACTGCGTTTTCGACCTAATTACAAAAATTAAAAACTTTTATTTCAACTGAATTCTTAGTTTATATATCAAGTTTATCGTGTTTTTAAGTTTAAATAACCTTTAGCTTAAGAGAAATAATTGCAGCACGTGTAGTTTACGTTAACAAGAGCTAAGAAGGAAAGTAAAAGCTTTATATTTTACCATGATGGTGGCCCTCGGCATTCTGCCGTGACTTTAATCTTCTTTCTTCATCTCGAGTTTTCCTTTCAGCACCCTTAAAAGAAATGACACAATCTTCACAATGGCCGCTAAAATTGATATCCCAATTATCAGATAAGTTTATATTACGTTGACATTGTAATAGAAGAAAAACATTTTCTGCTTTTGTGTGTCAAAATTGAACTCCCATAAATATACAGTAAAGTCGCAGATGGCTAAGACTTACCTTATCACAGAAAACTTTAATTTGGGCGTACCCTCGATGAACCGGACTCTCTTTGGAGTTTTCATATGTGTCAATCTGAACATGCAGAGGCAGACCCTGAAAAGTATAGACACATTAATAAGAGCTTTTTTTCGATATGTTTTATCTTGTATTTATCAATTAATTAACTTTTTTTTTTGTTTGTTTTATTTTTTTTTTATTTTGGTTTTATAATAAAATCTGAGGAATGTTTAATGTGACGTGAATGACTGATTTGATGTAATTAGTTTTACCTTGACTCCCTTTTGATTACTGAAGTCAGTACTGAGACAGTGGACTGCTACGTTAACCTGAAGAAGAATTGATGCATTTTTTAAAATACAGGAACAAAAATTTGAAAAGCTTGCACTAAAGGTTTTCTATTCTATTTTTAAATAGGTAAAGTTGTTTAAAGTGCATTTTACCTGAAACATATGGTAAACATTTCTGATTGAATGAATTAAATTCAAAATCGAAATAAAACGATTTGTATGCTAATACGGAAACTTTTTTTAAAGCCAAAATGCACTTAAACAATTGAATGAGAAGGATTCATATATTTTTTTGTGGTTAGCATAATTTAACAGAAAATTTCCGTGGGTGGAATCTATAGAGAAATACATTGACGTATTTAATTTTTATCCAGGCACTGCCACCCATAACCTCTCTTTCTGATCTTTAATATTTTGACGGATTATACCTGTCACCGCCCACTAAAGGTATAATCATTTCAACTCCCTTTAAACACTTACGCAAAAAAACACAATTAACCAAATTCAAATATTTAAGACATTTTAAAAAAGATTCATTTTTAGAGAAATTGAAGACTTTGCTGCACAAAAGCTGCATTGTAAGATTAAAATCAGCTGAGCACTGTGTGAAATTGCTTACCCTTATCGGCGAATCTCGAGGGTTCCAGCGCACGGACACCGCGTTGTAGGATACCTCAGTTATATTGCAAGCCTGCACTCCTTGGCTGTCTTTTGTATCTGCACAAAAACACCATAGAAAATTAACTGTCATATATGGGGTACGGATTCGGGTTGAATGGATATATTTTGTGCGGTTATATCAATCATCAGTGACTCGTGACCTTGAAGAAGCAGACTACAATTTTACCTATGTCTATAACACGCTGCTTATGACTATGTTGCCGGCTGTGCCAAAACTCCCAGGCTTTTTGTTCATCTTCCACAGACTTGTCGTCGCGAAAAACCACCATAATTACACTCTGTGAAAAGAAGAGAATTATATAAATTTCAACACGATCACTATCACTTTTCTTTCTTTTTCTTTCAAGTTGTAGCACTCAAAGAGTAGATAGACATTCTGAATTCCAGATTTCTAAAGCTCACCTTGACCATTCCATTCTGGGGTAGCTGCTCACCGTTGTATTCTATGGTCAAACCATAATACTGACCTGTTAGGAGATATTTAAGATCATTAAAAAGATTAATCTATACGTGTAATTGCATAAATTGGGAAAATAAAGTTGTCTCTATTGAAATAATAATTGCTGACTAGTAATTACCTTTATTAAGATAAGTAACTCTGTCTTCGTCTCGCCTACAAGCTGACGAGATAGGGGTTTCAAGAATACACTTATATCCGACGGAATCTTCCGGTCTGAAAAGAAGCGGAAACATGTCGTATCAATTGTTTATGACACTGACTTTTTGGTCTGGAATTCAGTTGCGTTTTATTACAACTCGTAAAATATACAGAAAACCTTTATAAATCACCATAAATCAAACGGAAGAAAGGAACAATTATCCGTATAATTTACTCTGCATATTTGAGCCTGTAATTATACGCGACTTTATTAGGAAGGTTATACTTACAATTTTGGAATGACAGTGCCGAAAGAAGGGATTTTCTCGCATGCCGGCCACAGCGGCTTCTGATAAACGGCCGGAGCTGATTTCCGCCTCTTGGACACTTTCTGACAGGAAGTAGTCGTGACTTCCCCATAGCTACCGGTGTCTTGATTGTACATCTGAAATGTGTTACACGCTTGAATTTAAAAATTCAACAGAATGGATGCTCGGGTTTCGTTTATTCATTTGAATACAAAATATTTTTATGGCATGAATATTTTTAAAATCATAAAATGCTAATAAACAATCCATAATTATCGTTCTAAAATGTGATTTTGAGACAGTCTTTGAACCTAGTTTTGGGAGAGAGAGAGAGAAAAATTCAATCTGTTGGAGTTGCCAATAATGGATTTGATTTAAGCCTTGAAATAGGGGAAAACATGAATTAGTATAAAAATCAATAATATACACTGTATGTGACTCGTGCAATACATCATACAATCACTGCAGGTGAAAAAGATACGCATTGAACCGTGCCATTTGAATTCACAACCAAAACCTCAAAATTACAGTTGCGCAGTACAAAACAGAGACGTTGCATATAAATTGTGTGCTTCAATTTCGCGCCTGTCCCTTGTGACTAATCATTCATTTTATTCATTTTTACACCTCTTCGCATTTCAGATCAATCGTCATTTGAACGTCAGTGATGATAGACTTTTTCCTAATGCTATTCGACATTAGTTATTCTAAATTATCAAATTTTATTATCACGATTCATCTGCATAAACTAAAAAAAGTTAAACCCGTAGGAATGTATTGGTAGTGACAAAATACATAAATAATCTTGGTTGCGTGCTTTTCTTTAGGTTGAACTCTCAATCCGAAGTTTTCACAGGACCAATGACCAAGCATGGTAATATCAAAGATTTAATCCTTTTAATTAAAAACATTTTAAGAATGAGATTCAAGCCTTACCATGTTTATTTGATCGGTGGGGGAGAGACAGGGTTCCTGGTAACCACTATCAGGAGATTTCATGGCGTAATTCTCTTTCATGTTGACGTTATAGTACCCGTAACTTGGCGACTGCTCCGGGTGGTATTGCTGTTGTTGTTGGAGATACCGCTCCATCATTTCATTGCTGGGAGGAGAATGGTTCATTTGGGGAGGGGTGATAGGGTAGATGTAGCCATTGCTGGCGTAATTTGATGACTGACATGAAGACACAGGGTATGAATTCTGTCTCATCGTCTGGTGATGGACACCGTTATTTTGTATAAGACCCTGTTCTGATTGTCCTGCTATAATTTGATTGGGTCTAGCGTCCATAAGACCAGAATAGCACTGTTCATGAGGATGATGCATTGCAATGTCTAATGGTGAAATGGAATTTGAGAACGTGTTGGCCGCACAGGCCATGGACATGCCAAGCGACATGGCAACAGATTCTTGTAATTCTGTCTGTTCCTCGGAGTAACTTCCGGTGGGCGAGTTTGTAGAAACACTGATTTGCTGAAGTTCTGCTGTCTCTAACACTGCGACAGCATCCTGCGAATATCCAGAAATTGAATCAGGAGTTGTCGCTGACGCTTCGTTCAACAAAATGTCCGGATTACTTTGGTTTTTACGGAGTTTCTCGTGAAGCGCCTTTTTGATTTTGTTTGTAGATTCTTTCTGGTCCTCAAACTTTTCAGTGGTTGAACAACAGTTTAACAATGGATCGTTGTCACTCTGTTCGATTTCACCAAAGTTCCTGCAATCTTCAGCAATTGGCGAACCTTTATACAAAACCGAGGTATTCCCCGAGGATGTAGATTTACCGTTCTTAGTGTGTTGATTGGTCATTAATGGAGTTTCTAGAGGTTCATCATTTCTCACTGAAGCGGAACGATTCTCTCCCGCGCCAACGTTTGGCCCTTTGGATCTGCCTGATGATTTTTTGCCCCTAGACCTGGTTGATTTTGGACGCTGAAATGATAATTGCATAAAAATCTAATAACCGTAAAAAGCAATTATTAGTCTATTAAGCAATACAAAGAACTAAATATTGAATCTTCATAAAAGTAAAAGAAATTGAATTTGAAAATCGGTAAAAAAAAAAATAAATAAATAAATAAATAAATAAAATAAATATATAGAGTATTTTCTGATACTTTTCACATGTTAAGATATTCATTTGATATATCCCTAACAAGAGAAGTTACTAAAATTTGCACAGTATTTCTGAATGTAATACAAAAGAGACAGATAGAAAATTAATACTCTATTTTAAAGTTAATTATGTACAGTCAAGTTAAGTGTGGAAGTTCGTAATTTTAGGTATTTTTCTTGTATGAAAAAGTGCATGTGTATATAAGTTATGGATTTATATTATTAAAATAAATGAAATGCATTATATATGCAAAACTTGTCTTTAAGCCACAAAACAAATAATTAGCAAGTACAGTAAATTTTAAAGCACGATTTTCCGCCCAGGGTTTGACTATCCAAACAAGCTTCACAGTTTGAATGTTTGTATTTTCCAAACACCTTTGGGTTTTTCTACTTATATTTACAAATCAGTTTTACAAAACTGGGAGGTTTTTTTTTTTTTTAAAGTGAAACTGGTGTAATTCATAGTCAAAATATAAGGTTTCAAGTCAAAAGAAGATATCATATTCATTAAGACGTTTACATGCATCACAAACTAACAAATTTCATTATAAGACTTCTAAACTTTCTCGTGATGCGGAAGATGGAACTTGGAGTTGTATTTTTTAAATGATTTTTTTAAAGTAAAATATGGAACTTGAATGAATATTTCTGCATTATCATCTGCATACCTGTGAAAATATGGGTATAAAATTTGAATTTGCAAAATAACTTTTTAATGGACATTCAAAAAATCGTAAATATTATTTCTTTTTATTCTTTGATAAAAAATTATATTTCAACCTTTTTTCCCTCTTTATCTTTTTTGGTAAGATTATACATGACTGCATTTTTATTTAATAATTTTTCTACAAATAATTTATTGTTACTTCAAATATGCTTAAAAAACAGTTGTATTGGCATCATCTTTGATCATATTCTTAATATTTTATTTTCACAAACTTTGTACAAACGAAAAAAAGACTGATAAAATTCGCAGTCAATTAAACAGATTAATGATTTCAAGGTCCAGGGCAATATGCTCATAATAGACCTTGTCAGCCACAACACCATAGGTCACTGTGTTGAAAAGTGATTAGTAACGCCTGGGTCAGGCTAATGACAGCCTTGTTAAATGACCCAAGGCCGACATCACATTAGTATCCAATTATCGCCATACCAATACTGTATGCATATTGCACCGCTTACTGTTAACGGTTACTGATAAATTTAATTTTTTTTTAATTCCTGTCATCTATATTTACCTCCAGGACAGTAGGTGATAAGCTTATAATGAAATCTTGATCTGGGGTGCTGATTACTGTCACACCTCCTTGATTTTATAATATTTTGTGGTACCCCCTTTTTATCTTTTTTATCAGTGAGAAATTAATATTAGTCTGGACCGTATTCTTTAAACATATTAAGAAATGTGATTTTTGTGAGAGAAAGCTACAAACCTTTTCATTCTGAGAGACTGTGTGTGTGCAGACCTCAATGACCTGTTCTATCGGAGGGGGTCTCTCTTCCACGTCACAATTTTCCCCATTTATAAGGAATTTTCCATCGATTGCGAGGTTTAAAAATTCACTGTCATTTTCTGAATCCTCAACTTCCCCATTTTCCGAACTTGTGTTTGTTCTGCAAGAAAAAATCAAAATTTTATAAAGCATGCTAGCCATAGTTCATTTGACGCAATGTGTCTCGATGCTTGCGCCAGTTGCATAACATTAAGGACAAACAACACCCCAATCTTACCGTCGAGAGTTCAGCTCTGACATAATTCCATAAATTCACTTGCGTTGGTCATATGCAAATTTTACATTAATTAATTATATTACATGCACGAAAATATGAGACCATAAATTAAAAGTAGGCTACAGACATATTTTTCTTCTTACTCATGGATATCTAATGAGTGGAAGAATTAACGCCATGAGTTATTGCGAAACAAACAGAGCTCCCAGAATGTTGCCTTTCCGATGACCGTGAGAATATGAAGTTCTCAAAAGACATGGCGTGGAGCATAATGTACGGTAGTTCACACCAAACGACAGAAAAAGAGAGGTCATGACCAAACACAGCTCCATTTTTTACATTCTATCTCATTTTCGGTAATTTACCCGATATGTGGTCATAAAGAGCACCCATCGGAACTTAGAGAGATCCTTGTTTACATCTTCACTGACTCAGCAGAGTTGAACGATTTCATCTCTTGTTATAAACTGTTAACAATTTGAAAAATGATCAGCTTCTGTTATTTTCACGCAACCTTGGGTGGATATTTAATTTTGTACTTTAATAAATCTTTTGAATTCTTCTTGGGATGAAATTAAAAAGCTGTGTAAGGGAAAAAGCATTTTAGTTCATTATTTATGCAAGAGATTTTGTGATTAAAAGTAGATTAAAGACCTTCAGGACGATGCTGAGACCAGAGTAAGACATGTTTGAACCCTGTGGTTTTCACTAATTTGAATTTGTGTTTATAGTTCAAAAGCGTTACTGAGCCAAGAAGATGTTTACATATATTCTTAAACAGAATAACTTAATCCATCACCTGAATGCATTGGTTGCTGACTGTCCATCCGTGGTTTTCTGCTTGTTAGCATTATGAGTGGCGAAAACAAACATCAACCTTTTTTATGCAGATACTTTATAAATAAATAACGTTAATCACAATTTTCATTTGGGGAGGGGGGCATTGTTTAGTACAGCTTCATGGAGTTGTCTGTGCTTCCAAACAATATATGCCCATCTAAAAAAGTTGATCCACGTACCAATATACATGCAGCGACCATGGAGTGTACATTATATTTTCAGTTTCTAGCTTGGCCCCTCGTCTAATGTTGATTTTAGAATGAATTTTCAAAATTTTAATTAATTATAAAAAGATAACACAATTTAAGCACGTCGTTAAATTTCTTCATAATATTTGATCCGTAACATTTTAAATATAATCACCCATTTTTCTCCAATGATATTTTAAAATTACGTTGCCAAAACTGACGTTTTATTTTCATAGGTACCGAACTGGTTATATGGTGTGCTTTTAGTATAATGAAATTTTAGTTTCAAAAATTCATGCATTTGGTATTGGGCCTTTCTTTGATTTTTTTTCATAACTAAAAGTAAGTTAAGAACATATGTTGATGTTGAACCCCCTTTTTTGCAATCTCGCGGCCCCTTTTACTATATAAGAAAGGAAATACTACTAAAAAGGCACATTAAAAAAAGTAAATGTGTATTACAATGTATGCTGAGTAGCAAGTACCTCAACTTTACCTTCAAATTCTGGTAACAAAAAGAAGTTATGATACCCTTCACATAAAACCTGACGTAAACGGTGTTCTGGAGCGAAGAATATTGCATTACATATATCCATGCAGGTCTTATATCGGTAAAGAGAAATCTCTTCACAAGGTCACCCTTAGAAATGCTTGACCCATTTTTTTTCTGAAAATTTACTGAGGTGAAAGACACAGTTTCGCTGAATTCATAAATTATGCAACTTATTTAAAAAGAAAAGTAAAACAAGCCTGAAAAGTTGATCGGAAAGAACATTCTTGGAACCAAGTTAAAAATTGAAATTTTCTCCTGAGGTGTTTGTATATATATAACATTATGTAAATATTGCGAATTAAATTGATTAACATTTTTATTTTTTACGATCCGCTTGAGAAAAACAAGGTCTAAGCACTACAGTATTTAAAACGTAAGTTAATAGTCGGTCATGCCATCCGGCCACGAAGCTATTTCAATCCCGATCAGAAAGCTATTACACTTACTTCGAACGGTATCGAAACATTCATTATAGACTGTCAAAAATAATCTCTCTAAGAAAACAGCCTAAAGAGGTTAAGTCTAATACATTTATAAATAGTTATTATTGCAATATTTGTACATACTAAAGCGTCTGTGTATTAACAAAATCAGCACCAATTTGTTTGCATTGTATCAGCGTGACATAAAATAGCTGAGTGTGTGGTGGTGGTGGTGGTGGTGGTGGTGGGGGGGGGGGGTCACAAACTATACCATATGCACTCAATGAAATATTTTTCAAATACTAAGTACCTAACAAACAACAACCCCCCCCAAAAAAACAAAAACAACAACAACAACAACAACAAAACCCATACACTGCATGATGAGAAATTGTATGAAACTATATATCTACGATAGTATATATCGAGACAGTTTGATTAAGAAATAAGAAGTGTACATAATGATATTGTGGAGAAAATACTGGTTTGCATTTGTTCAAAGACGATGAAAATATGTAGATACTTTGTTGCTGAGGACAATAACAGTGACCAGATACAATTTTGTCTACACTGGATTAACCTGTCTACACACACTCATACTATACAAATAAAGTATTCAAACTTCACTGTATAAAAAAAGTCCATATATTTTGAACCTTTGAGAGCAACTAAATATCGTCAAGAAATTTGCTGTTTAATGACGATTTATCTGAACTGAAATATGGATTTTTCGTAAGGTAATACATATGAAGTACCGAGCTCGAGATCTTGCTATCTTAGAAGATTATCATTATAGATGTTGTACTACACAGTTATTCCAACACCAATGGTACAAACAATAAAAGTATGTGCCCTATCGCTTGTAGATGTAAATCTAGTAGTCTTTCAATTCAGAGAGAAAAATAAAGGACAATTATTGTCAATTTATTTTATTTATTGGTCTCTTTCTCGTTTGTTCGTGTTTTAGAAGACTGGTATAATTCATACTCAGCGGCCTGTGAAGCTTATAGTAGCACGATAGTTAATATTTATCAGTTAGCCCTAATCTTTATAGACTATTAAATAAAGAAAAGAATGTGAATTTACCTCATGACAACGAGGTTCAAAAGACGCGAAATAACCAATAAATATAGGAAATGCTTTCTTATCTTGGAGAAAAGCAAAAGGAAATTTAAGCTCATTATTCAAAATATTCTCTCTCTTTTTTTTCTTAACAGCACTCTCAAAAATGATTCTAACACATCGGGATATATACCTCTCATCTTTACAAAATGTTTTGAAAAATGGCACTTGAATTGAATATTTCTTAAACAATTAAAGTTTTGATGTAAAATGTAAAGAGTTTCAGATCGTTACTTACTGTATTTAAATACTAAATCAAAACGTATGTAACAAATTGATTACCTCAGAATATCCTTGTAATTGTTAGTTTCTCCTATCTTCATTCCACTTGAATCAAGCGCTGGTAACTTGCTGTATTCATACGCCAAGGCGGACGCTTCACTGCTGATGGCAGTCTCCGCAGCCGTAAGAGGATGCCGAAAGTACCCATTGGGGTCATTTGGAGGACCATCATCATAGAGCGTTCTCCCGCCTGATACTTTGGGAGAGAATTCCACAACTTCGCCGCTCTCGGATGGTGTGCTTTCGTTTTCCCTGTAGCAAGAGAAAAAAAAACTTAACTTTCACCAACATAAGATGGAAAAGACAAGACGAAGTCTTAAATCGTCGATCCAGTACCAGATAAATATTTTGCCAATATCTTTCAATGCAACATCCAAGTCATCGTCAATTAATACCATGTCGAACTGTTGCATGAACTTTCTGCAAGTTCTTGACTTTCTGTTGAATCATCTGGTAATGCTTCACAGAGTATGATATACCAGACTCGTCCATTTATATTTTTGTTGGGGCATATTTTTTTGTAAACACACATAAATGAAAGTCCCCATTTATTTCACATGAAATTGAAAATCACCCAGTGATGAAGCATAATGTTTAAATTTGCATACAGGCTACAGATAAAAAGATATATCTGGGCGATACCCGCCACGAATATAAGCGTCGAAGCAAAATGTAAAAAAAAAAAAAAAAAAAAAAAAAAAAAAAAAAAAAAAAAAACTATCAGGAATACATCATATGTGTTCAAAATCTTTTGATGTCGAAATTGTGTAATACAGCATTTTTTTTTCTTTAAAAAAGTTTCAGAATATATTTTTACCTATCCATTAAAAATGAACCAAAGCACAACGATTCAAGCTCTAATGTATCAATGTATTCCATTGGTAGCTCCAAGTTCAAAAGGGAGGTTGTTATGCATTTCATTTCGGGAAAAAAAATGAATCACCAACAGCGCTATTCACCCAGAAATAATAATGAAGAAAGAACTTGTATCTTTGGCACCATTGTAAAATGTTAACTATCCACCGAACGATCACTTCTTGTCGGAGATGTTTAAGAACAGATACTTACGTACGCAGTGCAGGAGTTTAAAAAGGCATTTGTCGGAATGCATATTTAAATTTTGTAGGTAGGTGGGTGAGAAATAACATATCTGACAAGACAGAAAATACAAGGGCGTACATTATTCTTTGATTAAAGTTTCTCGTATATAAATATATAGTGTACGTTTTTAGATGTATTTGCCGATACGTTTGAGCGAACACCTTTGATTAATGTGCTCTTCTTCTCTGCAAATACTTGTCATTCAAATCAGCTTAACACCTCTCGTGTTTCCTAATTAGGATTTGCCGGAACTATCAAAAGGTAGATTCAAATGAGAATAAAATTTAAATCACATAAAATCTGGCGAAGGGAGGCTCAAAATACGTTTACATAACACTTAGGTAGGCACTACGCTGACGCACCTGGAGTTTTCATCTACGACAAGCAGTCTGAACATCCGTCAATGCAAACCCATCTTTCTAATTAAGAACAAGCAGGGATCAGTAGCAGTACGTAGAGTTTACTAGCTGACAACTGTGGTAAGTTAGTGAGTAACTTGCGGTGACAGAGCTTGTTACTGGGGAGTTGCAAAGCACCTAAGCATGTCATACAAATGAAAAAAAAAATCTTTAAAACAAAAAAACAAAAACAAACAAACAAATCTTGACTATTTATATCAGAGGCTAGCTGGTAAGAGGAGAATTCTTCAAAGCCTTGTTTTACAAAATGTAACATCCGGCAAACTATATTTTCAATTTCATCAGTAAAAAACACATACATGTATCTAATTTGAACATCGTATTTTTTTCCCTACCGCTCTCATTACAACTTTGAATTACCCTATAATACCCTAATCTCATCACGTGACCGCTAAAGCGGCCCCCCTCGTGGTATTACGATTTAAATCTTCTATAGTATCCTTTATTTCATATATTTGGTATTCAAATAAGAAAACGAAGACAAATTTTGATTAAGTTAAGTAGCCAACAATAACCACTCCCCGAGCACAATGTAAATGTTAGGTCATAATTAGAAAATGGGTCAAGGTTAGAAACTCCCGCTGCTTAATAAGATGACCAGCCCAACTCAGTAACAGTATTCCAAAACATCTACGAACGGATTAAACCCTCTTTTGAATTAGTGTTAAGTGTTCCTATCCCATGAAGCGTGTCTTTACAAGTCCCCAAAATACTTTCTGAGCTAACAAAAAAGAACAAGTGCCCTTTCAGAGTTGAAGTGCATGTAATCCGCGTGCATTTTTTACTTAAGAATTCGTTGAGAACATTTATATGCTACTCCTTTGAAAATTTTCTAAAGAATCCAGATTGCAATTTTTTAATAATGCTCTTCTGAAACCGATTATTCCTGCAGGGTACATTCATATGAAATTTTTCCACTCAGCTCTATTATGATGGCATTTGCGAAGAAGAAACAAAATCTGCATTCAATACATAAAGAATACGAATACTTTGTTGTAAGATTTGCAAAACACGTGTTTAATGAAATGCAAATTAAATTCACCATCTTAAGGTAAGCCTCACTTCCTGTGATGTCAAAAGCTATATTTCGATGACGGACCAGCTACGACGTGCACTTCCACATGTTAACCTCATCTTATGGCCTTAAGATCAATAGAAAAGACATTGATAAAATCCTCATTTACCTTTCGATCGATTTCACAATGATTGCAAATAGATATCCATGCTTTCTCACTTTCCTTAATCAATATATTTTCTATTTAGCACGTTGATCAACCAGTAGCCTTGCAAATGGTTAGCTTATAGGCGATGATGAAGGTGATGATCACGTGACCAGAAACTAACCAGAATTTGAGCCAATTCTTTTCCAGTATTAATTCTTATCTATTTCTACAGATCCAATTAGCAAAGTCATTATTTCTATTTTATTTGAAATGGTTCTTACAGTATTCAGTTTCGATATCACGCAAATCTTCCAATATTATTATCAGGTTGAGTCTGGAACAGAAATTACAAGAGATTTTCAATCGCCTCATATATAAATTGATTTTAGTAAGAAAATCTGCTGATTAGTAAAAATGATTTAAGAACATGACAAAAAGAGAAACTGTTTTTCTTCTCAAAATTTGATTCATTGAAAATTGGTAGTATGGTAATCAGTCCTAAAGATTTGACAAACACTTGCCTGACTCGGATTTACACACGTGGAAACTTATGGAAAGTAAGGACAACTCATGTTTACGTATTATTATTAAAAATTATTCGGTAGGGTGAAAACCGAGACAAGGTTTGTAATATAACATTTTATCATGCATGAAATAAATGTATTGTATTTTTTTTTTCAAAAACCTCTAGAATCTATTATAAAAACATGACCATAGGATCTGGGAGGGGAGGGGGCAATGATTTTGCCGATATATAGGATACTATAGAAACATAGCTACCATATGCTTGTGCCCCCTCAATATTAACATCTGAGAAATTTTGAATTTTTGGTAGTGCCCAACAAACTGAAAATGTTTGGTTGTGCCCCCCCCCCCTAAACTGAAATTGATTCCTACGGACCTGCTTTCTTCTTGAAAGCTTGATATCGTACATATATCTGTATCTGCTATACTTGCATCAGATTTAACACTGTTCCTCAGATAGCACTGAATACAAAATACAAAAAAAACCAAACAAACATACAGTCAACAAATAATAGTAAAAAACCAACTGTAAATTATTCTTCATCTATTATTAGTGTTTTGATGATCCTACATCAACAGATATGTATTCTAAATGATTACAATGGTCCACAACAGAAACCGACCACCTGTCAATTAACTACCCGGACCTCAACCTCTAATGGTCAATACACATATATATCTGTAACATTATAGTTCCTTGCTTCAGATAACAGACATCAGGCACCAGTCCAATGTCTAACCACCCAGGCCTACCAGAAGGTGTTTTGGTTGGCAATTTAATCCTCGATAACCACAAATTATTTACAAATAAAACATTACAATTATCGCACTTCCAACTGGATGCTATGTAACTTCTCTTTCTTCCCACGCCAGATATAGAATTAAACCAATTTTCTTCACTTTAAGGGGACAATATAACTTCGTAATCTTGGTTCCCGGCGTTTATTGCAAATCGAGTTCAACTGTGTATAGAAAATCTTAGTTAACCATCCAAAGGCTAAACAATTTGACTATGAGATGATTTTTTTTCTGAATTCGGCTCTGGTTTACCTAAGATTATTTTGTTTGTGCGAACCAATAAGAGGAAGAGAAAACAAATTGACTATAACATTCGTCCCGCCGTATAAAACTGTTGTCAGTGTTCTGTATGGTTCACTTTAGTAGACCAAAATGTGATAAGTTATTTTTAACAGTGTCTGCATCAAAATTTTGATTTTACTAGCGCAGAAAATTGATTCAAGAAGTTTAGAATCCTTACTACACCCCTGTATTAAAACTTTTTATATATTACTTGAGTCGTTTCAGAATTTTAACAAGCTTTGAAATGCAGATTTTCTCTTTAATAAACGCCTCAACATGAAAAGTTTCAAAATAAATTGCGATATGAATAGATTTTATCTTTCAATAAATGCACAGAATCGCTATAAATTTTCTCGAAAACAAATTCACTATTGCACATAAACAGAAAGTGGTGTTGACATTAAAATGTGTCATTTGAATGAAAAAAAAAAAAAAAAAAAAAAAACAAACTAACGACCACTTTTTTGGTGCATTTGAGATTTGCATGCAAATTTTTCTAAACCAGACAAGGAGACAGTTTGAGACCTTCACGTTAAGGTCTTGCCATTACCATATTTCTCATCCTGACACTAGTGCAACATTAACTATTATGTCGCTCTTTAAAACAGTATAATTGGAATGATTTAAGTTCTCAGTTAACTTTACATGCTTCATTGACAAATGAGCTTAAGATGTGCAATTAAAAACACCTTTTCCTAGTCTTAAGTACACTTCAATCGTATTTTATCTGTAAGTTCTATATATTTCATTGCATCTCCTTAAATCCTTAGTATTATTATAAATCCTCTCTGTAGAATTCTTTCAGAAAACACAATGCAGGCTATGCTTTCTCTGATGATAATTTCAGCTATAAATTTGCTTCAATAGTTAAGGTTATCAAATACATGGCATTAACTCTTTTAAAAGACAGTCAACCCATCTAGCAGGTGGGGAAAGCTATGACTAAAAGAAATGAATACTTGGTCAATGAGCGCCAAAAAGTCAGAGGACGGCGATGACCCCCTGCAGAAAATATAGGTAAACTTACCCAAAGGCCATGCTACTCAAGTCCGCCAAGGTTCACAGAAATTGAAAAGTCCTTGTTAAAAACGCATCTCAAAAAAGCTCTTATTCCATTTGAACTATTTCATGGTTACTTTACCAGGTAAACATCTTCTGTCCACCTTCTTAAGACTTGGATGAGAATTTTCAACAATCGGTTAGAAAAAACAAACTAGCGATTGTATCGCGTAGAATAAACACTTAATTTATAGAAAATTTCCAATTACAAAGGTAAGGGTTAATGAGATGGCGCAGCCCGAGGGCCAAACTGATCGCATGGCGGTGCGTTCGAATAATACGCTACTGCTTGGACGTCTTTATCAATACTGATTCCGATGACCATCTAGGTAATCAAATGTGTCGTGCTGCTCTTTACTGCTTAACGCCTAGACTTTACTCGCTTCATCGACTTTCACTCTTTCCAATATACACAATGAAATATTTAAGTTTTAGTTAGACATTGCATGATTTGCATTTATTACTGCGGGCTTTCAGCTGTGACGAAAATATTGTCTAATAGAAAACAAAATTGCGGTCAACAAATTTGCACATTAAAATAACGCTGACATGTATTTTAGAATGAAATTTTTAATTTTGTTTTTTTTATTTTTATAAAGAGCTATGTCAAAGGGGTAGGGGACAAGCAACTTTATTGCAAAATACATGTACAATTCCTAAACCAATATGTAACTCCAGAAACCAATTTAATCGATAAAGCTCTAAAATGATTTATCTTTTAGATCATTAAAATTCTACAATCGGTTTTCTGTGAAACGCACTTAATTGAATGAAACTTAAGTAACTGAACCGGGTCATGTATTATCTTCCTACTTCAGAATAGCAATGACTGTATTTGTGGATTAAAGACCCTGTTTTGTCACAAAAATAAGTAGGGTCTAGACTACAATTAAGTAAGTTCTATAAAATTCAACCTTGTTAAGGTATACTTATTTTTGATAACCTGTATTTTACATGGAAATGAGAAAAACAACGTCGTTTTTTTTTTTTTTTGCTTTTGGGAGGTTTTTTGGAATAGTTAAATCTAGAATTTGGCCTGTTGAAAGTACACTTGTATTTCAAGTCTTTCATATGATAATGTCTTCTCTTTTCTGATATGATTAAGCCTTCATGTGTGATTTCTCAAGCATATGCAGTAAATTGGTTTAAATGTAAGCTCTCTCTTACTTTTTAGCAATAAAATGTAGAAAGCATGATGTACTTTACTAATCTTAAATGCAATTAAATATACCCAACACTGCAGATGAACCAAACAAGTATTAGCTTTGGAGGGTCTTGAAAGCGAAGCGTTATTGAAACCTAAACAAGCATCAGTCCTGCCGAGTTAAAATTGTTTACATCGGGTCAACAAAACTCTTTGGATGGGGTGTCCCCCCATTAGGACCAGCACCCCAGACCGCTTCAAAATATTTGAACTGTACATCACACCCGATCTATCCCAAGGGTTTGGTAAATATCTAGCGATTTTTCCATATAAAAGCTTAGAATTTTCAGTGTTTGCTCAGTTCTGTTTACAGAGGTAAAAGGTTGTAGGGGATTAAAAGGGCGAAACGGTTCGATGAAAGTTAAATTCTTGCACAATTAAGAGGTTTCTGAATTTCATTTTTCGGATTTGCTTTACTTTTCAAAGAAAATGGTCATACAATTCACCCAAGAAAGAAGCTATTATTAGGGTCACTGAATAAAAATATATCATTTGCAGATGATAAACATTCATTTCACAAATAATTTTCACCTTATTTAATTAGAAGAGGTGGCAATAAATTTCTTCTTTTCATGTTATGGTATAAAAAGTTTTAAATATTGAAATAAACAGCAATGAAACTTCATTTTGGCTTGTGTGAAGCATACATAATTACCCTAGCTACATAACTTTTGACAAGTGTGATTTATTTCACTGTTGTAACTGAGAAAAAAAAACGGACAATTTATACACACGTGTGAAACATTATACAATATCAGATACTAATGTTTTATTTGTTTGTTAGATTGCTATCTTCTGCAACGCTACAGTGCAGATAAAAAAAAACAACAATATTTCTACGTTTCCCATTTACAAACCAGCACCAAATTCAATACATTTCTTATGATACGTTCTTTGTTTTTCAAACAGTACAGGAGAATAGCTGAAGTTTGGGTCTGATTAATTTGGCGTTAAACCTTTGCTTGACTGGCTAAGTGTCAATATTCCACCTATTGAAAAAGCCTCCCGTTCTCTTTGACAATTGTGGGAAAGCTATATTCAAGGTGTTACATTGTAAGGTATGTAGACCGAATGTCCTCGATATAAATTAGGATTATTTCCATCGATTGGTTCTGTCACAATTCCTGACGGCAAAAAATCTCTACTTCCAATCAATAATTGCCATCAATTGAAAATAATATCGTCCTGTACACTATTTTCAATTATTTATAGTTTCCATGACGCCCTTTCTTGGACCAAGACGGATAGCGCGAAGTTTTGTTACCTACAATCTTACCACGTGCAATAAAAATGTCATTCAGTTAAAACGAATCCCATTTGGATTGGTTTAATTATTCATGCTGACTTAATTACGACATTTACGTAAAATATATAGATATAGTCTATAGCTTTTTTGTACCTGGTGGATTTTTCTCAGTATATCATCTTTTATTAATCATATCCGACACTACCATCACATCTTTAGATTTGTTTCAAGATTAAAAAAAGTTACATCGTGCATGTCTTGTATTAAAACTCCATAACGTTGTCAAAACAAAATCGATTTTTCATCAATGCTATAAATTTCATTCACATATGAGCTGTACCAGGATATTTTACACGGCACAAAATCATACTAAAATTTGCATATTAGAATTCCATTGACTGTACATATGAAGCCTATTCTTCACTGCCAATAAAAGGTATTATCCATTTGATTTAACTAGTACACGAACTGTCACGCTACACAGTTTCTTACCGTTACTTACCCTGTGTGATTATTGTTCAATTCCTCCTTGACTGAGCTATGATCGCTGCTCATTCTATATTCCAAAATCTTGACAAACTTGTCTTTCAAGTTCTGAGTTTAACCTTATTCACAAAACTATTTGAAACCAGTTTCACACAATCATCCAAATACAGAAGACGTCGATCACTCACGGGAGTTAATGCGCTTCCAAATGCCCATTCATGTGTTTCAAACTGATCGCTTTAGTAGGAAAGTTCGCATGAACAAAACGGTTCGCGCATGCTAAGGAACTCGATGTCGGAAGCCTGTAACAGGCATGACTGTTTACTATAGAAAATTGTGAACCAACAAAGCTATGTTTGGATAAAGTCTTTGGGTATGGGAAATGTCTTTTTAGTGTTATACAATCGGGTTTGTAATACATCGGAGGTTTATTCAATGTATTGTGAAAAGATCGTTGAATACACCGTATGTCCTGGCGAGAAGGGTTTAATATTTTTGGTTCAATGGTTTACAATAATGGCACAGAAGTAATGACTTTAAACGCGAGGTTACAAGGAGGGTTCAAAACTGTCAAAATTTGGTTTTCACGAAGAAAAGTATAACTAAAAATCATTTATTCAACATGGACTACCAAACACCTTGCTTTTCTTGACCAAGCGCGCGTTTTTTGTTGTTTATTTAATAGTAATTTTAATGGATATAAACATGTACTCGACATGAAATATTTTTATTTTGACAGTCGAGGAAAGTTGTCCAGTCACCCGAAAAAGTGCTCCAATTATGTCTACTGTCGGTGAGCGAATGTTTGTTATTACTGTTCCGTAACTGGGTGGCGCCTCTTACTAAATCCAAATGTTGAATAACCATTGACTCACTTTAAAATAATAATAATACATGTAATCCTATGTATTAACTATTCTTTTAAATATACGTGGGTCGTTTTGACATAGATTTTTAAGTTGTTTTGAATAATTATATCTGATTTATTCAAAATACATGTAAAAAAAATTTGCTCGAGAAGAAACGGCGAAAAAGTTGTACATGTATATAGCAGATTATAGCTTATAGTCCATGGAAGCAACTTTGTATGATTGATTTGTACGGATCTCTATTAATATTTAAATAAAGAATATATTTAAAAAAGTTAAATCTTTGAATAGACACGTTTAATGAGAGACGTTAGAGGTCTGATCTGAGTTTGCTGTGTTCTCCGTCGTAATGTGAAATTGGCGTTTCATATCCCCTCGAGAGTTTTGATGGATATTTAGAACACCAGCTGTTAAAAACTGAACAAATTTATATTCGTATGAAGCAGAATTTATGAATTAAAAAAACAACTGCTACATGAGAAGAAAACTCTTGCTGTGGTATTCAACTCGATATTCGGATATCCTGACGACCGTTTATTTATATTAAGAATAGTTACTTTCGTCCATATGTCGACTCGATATATCTCAGTATGCTACAACATTTGTTTCATTTCTGGATGTTTTACTGACTATAGACGAAAAAGACCAACTAAAACTAAACTGTAAGACAAATGGGATGACCTCAGCTTTTCTATCGTTTCCCTTCTTTATATGTATAGTTACTGTAGTATTCCACTAATCACCTTCATAAGGTGTTTACAAGTACCTCCTAACTGATTCAATACGCAAGAACATGCTCTGAGTACGAGCATTTTTAAAACTGACAAATAAGTTGAAGTTAGATTTCAACCTGGTTTAAAGTCAGCATTTTGCAATATAATATATCTAGAGTGATTTATATATATATATATATATATATATATATATATATATATATATATATATATATATATATATATATATATATATATATATATATATATATATATATATATATATTCAAAATAAGAATTTTTAGATGTGGAGGAAAACAAGGCGAAGAAACATATAAAATTTGCGAAAGAAAAAAAAAATTCTGCATCCAATTTATATTTTTCATTATTTTAAAAAAGAGAAGTGTGATTTGAATTAACCCAGTAGTAATTTCCTTTTCAAAAAACAATAGTGTAAGAAACATTCAAAGTACAAATAAATATCTAGAGGATTTTTGCTCTACTAGTCGATGTCCAGAAGGGCTTTTTTGCGAGGTTAAGATTTCCATCGTTCTTCTGTCTATTTGTGAACAATGTTTCGAAATACTGCTCTTCTTAAACAGTTTTAGTCTGATCCCAATAAAATAGAATAAACTAAGAAACATATTTCTTTGCTTTTTTTCGGGGGGGGGGGGGATGAACAATGTTGCCAATGTTGGGAAATTATTCCAAAACGCCAATCCTCCTACTGTTTTGTCCTGATTTCAATAAAACTTGGAATACAGGCTTACACAATGTACCACACTATGGAATACATTAACATTACGATGAGCAATGATGCAGTGGTTAACGAAAACAGAATAATGTAGGATTTTTTTTTCTTCAAAACTCCAAAC